CGTGGGCTTGCCAGGCGGCAGTGGGCAGAACAACAACAAGGGTGGAAATAAGCCCAAGCCCAAGGCCAAGACGAACAAGTGGGAGGAAGCCAGCCAAGTCAGCCAAGAGACCACTAGTGAACAGCTCAAGGAGAAGGCCACTCGATTCATGCTTGTTTTTTCAAATTAAGTTTAGCTCGAACCGTTTCTGTAGCTGTTTGTTCGCCCAACCATTTCCAGGCCAAGCTCTTCGTCACTGAGCTGGGCAAGGAATACGGTCTCTTGCAGGGCTTGAAGCTCCAGATCCAAGGCAGCGGCTTGGACGACAAGGCCACCTTCTTGAAGTCCCTCACCAAGCAGCTGCAGGCTTTGGAGCGGATCCGCACGACCCTGGCTGGCAAGAAGGCTTGCAAGATGGAGGACATGAAGCCCGTTTTGCTTGACGCGGTGACCACCCTCCAAGCTTCCAAGAAGCTTAAGGTGGAACTCACTAAGGCCCTTAAGGACGCCTGAGCAGTTTTTTTTTCAGGATGGCTGCATAGAGGCCCAAGCTCAAGCAACGTGTAACACGCAACAGTCTTTGGTACCACGGCCCTGCAGAGTCCAGCAAAAGCTAGAAGTCTTGAGTCTTGACCCGGCAGCTATTCCTGATGAGATTTTAGCTTATAGTTTTCATGAAGTCCAGGCAGGCAGGGTTTTCCAAGCTGTGAACGGCCTTAAGTCCAGGCCACGCAGTCTGGATGTTTTGAACCCTCCAGCCTCTTAGGCTCCAAGAGCAAAGGCAGTTCAAGGGAGAGAGCCTACTGAAACCTAAAGCTGGAGTTTCAAGCGCCAAAAAGAAGCGTTTTGCTGCCAGGGACTGCTGCAAACTGCCTTTGTTCTCGTGTTCAAGTTGCAAATTCCCCGCTTTGAAGCTTCGAGGACCAAGCCAGGTTTAGGTTTAGATGTCCAGGCGAAGCCATGTCAGGGAGGAAAAGGAAGACGGAGGACCAAGCTTCCTCTTCCTCCTGTCGCGAGATAAAGCCAGAATCTCCACTTGCGGTGGCCCTTTTAAGGCTGTGGTGTTTGGGAGACCTGAGCGCCAAGGTCGTCCAGGAGCTGTCCCAGGCAGCTGTCAAGTCAGGCTGCTCCCAGGCCGACCTTGTGGGACTTGCCAGCTTGGGTTCGCATGGTGTTAACCCGAACCACACGCACCACCAGCTGCTTTCCAGGGTCTTCAAGGACATGGCTGCTCCAGACCCAACGGTCGTGCAGACCCAAGGCATGGGGGAAAAGCGCCACAGGCCAAAAAATCCAGGTAGACTGCAAGCTTCCAGTCATGCTTCCGCACAACTGGATGCTAAGCCTGGATGGCATGGACGATGACATCCTGGGTATCCAGGACATTGCCAAGTTTTGGGACAGCCAAAAAGGCGCTAACTCCAGGGTGTCGCAAAGCCAGGACTACTTTGACCAAGTTTTCCAGGACACCCAAGCCTTGGTCCCTTTCGCTTTGCACGGCGACGCAGCTCCCCACTCCAAGGTGGACAGTCTGCTTGTGATATCCATGAGAGCGATAACGTCACGACGTTCGATTGACGCTTGGCTTGTCTAGTATTCTTTCGGCAGTACGACCGCAAAATCACCATTTAGGTCTTGGTGTCTCTAATTTTTGCTTTCGCAGTCCAGGCAAGCAGCCAATTGTTGCTGGCCTGCATTCCCAAGTCGTGCATCACGCCCAAGCTCATGGAAGATCTTTGGACCAAGCTCTGCGAGTCCCTCCAAGCCATGGCCTCAGGAAGGTGCCCAACGACCTCCAGGCGGTTCAGGCCAGGAGTGATCTACTGCATCACAGGGGACATGGAGTTCTTCTACCAGGAATTCAAGTTCCCCAGGCCGAACCAAGCCAACCCTTGCCTTTGGTGCGCTTGCACCCAAGAGGGCGAGAACTGCTGGAACGACTTTCGCCAGGAAGCAGGCTGGAGAAGGACAACACTCAGGCCAAGGCAGCTGGAAGCCAGGCTGGAGCACCCGCTTTTCCAGGTCCAAGGCGTCAATGCTCAGGCTTTGAAGCTTGACGTCCTCCACGTCCTTGACCTCGGTGTGTCCTGCCATGTGGTGGGGAATCTGCTTTGGGAGATCATCGAAGACTCCAAGCCAGGTTCCAGGGACACCAACATGAGTTGCCTGAATGCCGAAATCCAGGAAATCTACCAGGAGCTAGGCATTCCTTCAGGCACCAGGTTGCCGAACCTGAAATGGAAGTCTGACATTGCCAGCAGTGCCAATGAGTACCCTTGCCTCAAGCACCAGAAGGGCAGGCGAATCAGGCATTTCATGCCTGTTGCTGTGGAGCTCGCCAGGAGGTACAGTGTCTAAGCTGCATTATATCTATAAATGTGAACACGACCTTATTCTTGTTTAAAGTTCTACAGCAATTTCAGGCTCCCAAGATGATCGCCGAAGCCTGCACCGACTTCGTGTCCTTGAGTCGCTGCGGGACATCTACGACTTGCTGGACAGGCAAGACTTCAAGTGGCCCCAGGACGTCAGGCGAAAATTCGCCGACCAAGTCCAGTGCTTGACCAAGCACTACGGCCATCTTGCCAAGCTGGCTTTTGATGCCCAGCAGTGTCGATATAGCCAAGTTTCCAAGTTTCACATGACGGCACACTTGCCAGAAGTTTCGCAGCACTTGGCCCCCAGGTTTTTTTGGACGTATGGTTCCGAATCCTTTATGGGCTTGATGTCTCACATCGCCAATGCTTGCCTTTCAGGCACTGCAGCTCACGAGGTGCCGGAAACCATCCTGTTCAAGTACAGGACGTTTTGGCATCTGCTTTTAAAGGGCTTGCTAGTGCTGGATGAGCCAAGCTGACCCAAGCAGCCAAGCTGCAAGCGGTCCAGGTCCACGCCAACTGCAAGCGGCCCATGAGCCATAAGCTGCTCAAACGGTCCAGGTCCAGGCCGACTGCAAGCGGCCCATGGAAAACAAGTCGCTTGCGCCATCTGCTAAGGGCCGGACGGCCCTATACGTACATTCCCAAGTGGTATAATCCGGACGCTTAAAAATGTGTCGCCGTCTATAGCTGCAGTTTATAGGCTCTTCAGATGGCAAAAGTAGGAAGCCAGAAGAAGCCGGCCGCACGGCAGGCCAGATACTTGCCTGTGAGCTTGTCGAGCTTAAGTCTGTTTTTTGAAGTTTTGGCTGTGCCTCGACAGGCCCCGGTCTCGAAGAAGCCAGCTGCCAAGCTCGCAGACAAGGAGGCCGTCGTCAAGGTCAAGGTCGTCAAGAAAAGACCTGCGACTTCCACGACCTCCAGTGGCCAAGCTCCCAAGAGCCAAACCGCCACCTTGGAGACTCCTGCAGAGACGACAGCCAAGAGGCCAGCCGCCACCTTGGAGACTTCTGCAAAGGCGACAGTCAAGAGGCCAGCCGCCACCTTGGAGACTTCGGCAGAGACGACAGTCAAGAGGCCAGACGCCACCTTGGAGACTCCGGCAGAGACGACAGCCAAGAGGCCTGCAGCCGCCACCTGCTTTGCTCTCGAGGCGGGATTCTTTCAGTGCGATATATAGATTTTGTATATATATATATATATATATATATAGATAGATAGATGTGAACCCCTATACCCTCATAACCAGCTTTTAAACCCTTACGCCGAAACAGATCTGCAGGAAGAAGACAACTCGGATGGAGGTCTGGAAGCCGTTTGGGAAGCTTGCCAAGCTGCCGAGACCATGGCCAAGGGGCCAAACCAGAGCCCGGACAACGTGAGCCTGAGCCAGGAAACGATGGTCTTGGGCATGTATGACCCTCCGATCACTCAGAGTGACTTTGAGCAGGCCATGAAGGAGTGGCCAGAGGAGCCTGACTTTTACCACGACCCCTCACAGGAAGCTGAAGCGGAAGCTCCGCCGGGTCACCTTCTCGTTTGGGATTTTTTGTCCCCGATTCAAAAAATGATCATCAAGCAAAACCCGAGAGTCAGGGACGGCTTGCAGCCATGCGGGCTGCCAGTGTCCAATACCAAGTCCAAGCCCAAGTAGCCCGGAGCTTTTTTTTGAAAGGTAAGCTCCAAGCCTCCACGGCCAAGTTTTGAGGAAGAGCTCAAGAGAATCTTCACCCAAGATTCCCTGCCGCAGCTGTGGAAAAGAAGTGTTAGGCTGGAATGCCTGAGTCCAATTCCACGTCCAAGTCCAAGTAGCCAGGAACCGTTTTTGAAAGTTAGGCTCCGAGGCCTTTACAAGGCCAAGTTTCGAAGGAGAGCTCAAAAGAAGCTTCACCCAAGATTCCCTGCCGCTGCTGTGAAAAAGAAGTGTTAGGCTGGAAGCCTTCTGGGAAAGGGTGGGGAAGAGAAAGTGAGAGATAGAGAAAGAGAAAAAAGAAAGAGATAGATATATAGAAATAAAAATACAGGTAGAGATGGAGAGATAGAGAGACAGGGAGATATAAGAGATAGAGAGATAGAGCGACCGAGCGGTAGAGCGGTAGATCGAGCGATAGAGCGGTAGAGCGATAGAGAGATATACAGCGATAGAGAGATAAAGAAGTAAAGATGTAAAGGTAGAGATATACAGGCAGAGATACGGATAAAGGTACAGGTTGAGGTCGAGGTAGAGGTATTATATATAGTGGTGGAGGCAGAGATAGCGCTGAAATCTATTGATGTCAGAAGTGTTTCTCGTTTGATTTGAGATAACATTTCTATTGATTTTATGGAAAATTTCTATTGATTTTATGGAAAATTTCTATTGATTTTATGGAAAATTTCTATTGATTTTATGGAGATTTTCTATTGATTTTGATGTGGAGGTTTCTATTGATTTTTATGTCGCAGTTCTATTGATTTTGAGGATTTAAATTTCTATTGAAAAAGATCGTTTTCTATTGAATTTGATCGACACAATCAAAACGCTGAGAATTTTCAATCCCGCTTGATTTTTTTCAATCGGCGGTCCTCTGGGTAGGGCGAGACTGAGGAGGTTTTCAAAGTTTTTTTCATGGGCTTAGAGGACTTCGGCGATTAGGTCGAGCCATGGTGGTTCGACCTCGAGAAAAACTGTCTGACAGTGTCGTGCTAAAGGACAGGCCACGCCGGCATCGTGCTGCAGATCTTCGGGCAGCCACGTCTGGGCCGAAGGTTTCGGTCTCAGTCTCTGAGGTACCCCGAAAGAAAGCAGCTCGCCAGGACGAAGATGGAATGACTGCAATGCAGAAGTTTCGTATTCGTGGCAAGACATGGCAAATGTCGGTCGGCTCTCATTCTGAGAACGGGTCTCGTACGGTCTGGCTGGAGGAGCGCTGCCGTCCAAAGTGGGGTCTTGGATGTGTACTTTGTGCGCAGATGGTTCTTCGTCTACAGCTGGACAAGGGCTCTGCAAAAATGAGGCGCAGCTACAGCACAAAATGGAGCCGTTTCGAGATTGACGGCATTGCCAGCATGCAAACGTGTGCATTCAAGAAGCACAGCCAGAGCGACCAACACATGGCCGCATGGAGGCTGTTTCGTCTTCCTGCACAGGCCCAGGTCTTCGCTACGCCCAGCTGCGATTCAGACTTGGACCTGCTGAAAGGGTCTGTTCCACAACCCAGCGACTGGCTGTCGGTATGGTCTGACACGGTCCGGGTCAACTTGTCTTCCCGCGGGTCAACCAGGTCTTCATTGACTCAGCAATTCATTTCTTCGAACAGACTGCAGGTCAAGGAGGTCGAGCAGCGTGCCATCGCCCAGATGCGTCTGATTCTGCGGGAGTGTGTCAGGGAGAAAAAACGCCAGCAGCTACAGCAGGCCAGGTCTATCTGCTTGTCTCTGGACGACAAGGGCTTCTCCCCCTACAGGCTGCTGCGCTTCAAGTGCTGTACGGCTGATGGGCAGGTCTTTGGTGGCATCGTTGGATGCATGCACAGCAGCAAGCTGTTGCTGGACAACCCGGAGAAGTGGGAGGAGGACAAAAGCGTGTCTGCGGCTGCGACGGTTCATCATCTGGTGGAGGTCTTTTGCACACCAATGGGTTCAGACCAACCGGACGAAGGACTCATGCAGGTCTTCCGCAACAACGTCCGCAGCTTCTGCGCGGACGGATGTCCGTACGTCCAGAAGGTCGGCAGGGTCTTAAGGTCTCGGTACTATCCGAAGATAGTACTGCTGTCTCGAGACATGGCGCACATGCTACGGTGTTCCTACCAGCCCCCTCTAGCGGCCGACCCGAAGCAGGAGGAGCTGTGGGGTCTCATCAACAGTGGGGACGGCCGGGCTGTCTAAACAGAATCAGGTCTTAATTGTCTTAGGAGTAGCATGTGTTTCGAAATGAAGCTCTCCCTGGTCTGTCTGCAGGCTCCTTGTTCCCTGCCCTTCAACATTCGCACGAATGGAGGGCCAGGCTGATGACTTTGAATAGGTCGGTCTTGGAGAAGGATGGGGCTATCCACAACATTTTGCGGTCTAACCTACGACACTTCTGTTGGGCTCCGCAGAGATGGGAAAGTGCAGCCTGTCCTTTGCGTTTCGCGGCGGCATGAGACTGCTTTAAACTTTAAGGTGGGGTAGAGGGGAGATGTGTTCAATTCATTTGTCGTTAGTTCTTGTGGTGCAAACGAGGCCGCTTCATCTACCTCCTGACGCCGATAGCGCTGCTCATGGCAATGACTGCCGCAGACCAGCGTACAGGTGTTCAGCTGCGTGCGAAGTGTCACAAGCTTCTGGCCGGCATGCGGCCCGGTCTTTTGATCGCCTTGGGCTTGGCGGCCGACTTTGGCAGTGAGGTCACGGGCTTCTTGCGTGAGTGGGAAAAGGACTTCGACGTGGCCACGGTCCATCGCCGCATCGCTGCCTTCAAAGCCAAGATTACCAGCTTGTTTTTGGAAGCTCGCATCTTTGACGAGTTACAGGACGTCCCAGATGAAGAGCAGTCCAGTGCCCGGACGCATCAAAATAAAAGATACACAGCATAACCTGTAGGCTTACAGAGCAACTTCGAGACTATATTGTGTCATTTCTGTACCCTGTGTGTAACAATCATTCGCACAGATAAGGTGTGGTCTTGGCCGCGAAGCATGCCATGCAGACACCGGAAATCCAGGTCAATGGCAAGGTCTACAACGTTTGGCCTTCCGGGTCCGGTCGCATGCCAAAGGTCCAGGAAACGGTCTCTAGCTTTCAGGTGACCACACAGGCCTTTCTTGGCCGAGTGGCAGCAGAGCTCCCAGACCAGGAGATGAAGATGACACTCAGGGCCTTGGACTTGGTCTTGTGGCGGAAGTCCAGCACCGTGGGGAAGGTCAATTTGGAGGTCTTGGTCCGTCTCTGGTTGAAGGACTTGGGCATGGACCACGACCAGCAAACTGTTGGTATTCAGCAGTACAGAGACGCTGCGCCCGGCCCTAAGAATGTCACATTGGGTCTCCATGACATCATGGGTTTCCTTGACTTGTCTTGTCCAAACTCTACGGAGCGAGGGTGAATAGGCCTAGGCTTAAACCTGAAGAAACATCAACACCACAACATTGATGGCTCGAGGTCTTACCTCTGTTCGAAGCACACGGACAAGGAGATCGGCAACGACAATCGCGGCATTTGGGCTACAGTGATGGACAAAAACTGGACGGTCTTGAACGTGCTGCTGTCTTTCTACCTGTCCTTGGAAGTCTCATCCTGCACACTGGAGCGCAACTTTTCGGAGCTTCGCCGCTTTGTCGAATCCCACTGCGGGGCAAGCCAGTCTGAATCCCAAGATATTGAAGCTGCCTTGGAGCTGCGACTGGATGGACCACAGGACGAGGCAGAGGTCTGCCGAAGGACTTTCCCAGAGCAAGGTCCAGGTCTTCTTCAGCTTTCCAAGAAGGTTCAGGTGGCCTTAGCTGTGCCTGGATCTGGGTCTGGGTCCCCACTGCTGGAACTCAATGCGTTCTCCAAACGCCTGGCAGAACTTTGGATTCACCACCACGGCCGCAGGTTTCATGTTTACAAGAGAAGACAGGACTGTGGTCTTCGGCGAGGTCCCCGCGAAGGAACGGAGTCGTCCTTGATTGCTGCTCAGAAGCGGGCTCGAAGCAAATTGAGCCAAGGTCTTGGGGTGGACTCCAGACAACTTTTCGGAGCAAAGCGGTCCAAGCTGGCTTGGAAGGCCGCCGGGTGTCTCGAGGACTCTGAGATCTACAAGCAGAATGAATCCATGAAGGTGTTTCACGAGCGGTCTGCCACGATCAAGGAGAAGCATCTGGATGTCAGGAGGGCCAAGATCGACGGATCTGAGCCGTATCCCGTAGGCGGGCTTTATTGACATGACTTCCTAAGACTTTTAGTCCTTACTATCAATGAGAATTGACAGCAAATCCCTCGGCCACCCTGACAGGGGAACATCGTCCCGGGGCTATCTTCAAACCACCCCACCACCGCGTTTTGGTCTTCGACACACGACGGATCTCGGCCATGGACTTGTGCAGAGCTTAGTGCAGTGACAGCACAGTGGCAAGTCGTAACATGCGACGAATAACTATTAGACCCGGGGGCTGGCTGAGGTGTCTGACCTCCGCCACATCCTTTCCACGATGCAAGATGTGCAGGACAGACGGTCTCAGCATGACGTCTCTCCTCGATCTGGCCAAAGCCACCGATGTGATAATCATCGATGATGAGATCCAGTTGAACTTCATCGGGCTTGTGCCTCAGTAGTTTCTGCCACTGTGAGGTTTCAGGTAGTAGTGGTCGGTGTTTGGAATCCGTTCAACGGGCATATCTCGTTTGAGAACTTAGGAAACAGTTTAAGTTCTTCTTGCCATGAGTCATCTTTGCTCTACAAGGCAAGAGATGAAGTCCGAAGTGATCAAAGGGCTGCTGGTGGGCTTCGGTCTGGGTCTCCCAATGGTCTCCAAGAACTCCTGGACGGAAAGCGCTGGGGACTTCAGGGCACTCGCCAGCCACTGCACAGAGCACGAATCAGCTATCAAGTCTCAGCTTGCACTGGAGTTGGCCCCAGACTTCGTTCAGAAGCGCGAGAACTACACCAAGCTACTGCGGCTCTTGACGGAAGTGAGCGGCAGTAAGTGGAGCATCGTGGATGAGAAGCCCCCGAGCAAGTCTCGGTCTAAGCACATGAAGCTTTCAAGCTTCGCCGATATCCCGGGGTTGATTCGCCATATGCGTGTCACCAAGTCTAAGTCTGTCCGCTGTGGGAAATACTTGAATCCAGAGTGAGCTGGTGTCGGAAGGCAGAGAGTTTAGGTCTAGGACCGAGTCTTGGTTTCCAAGATCAAGTGATGACAACGCTAATTCCACTGGATTCAGGTCACAAGCAGGTGATGCAGGGCCGTGTTGCAGCACCGACAAAAAGTGCTTCATGCCTCTGACCCCAACAAGCAGCATCTAGCGGCAACACTAACAAAATTGAGGGGTCAGCATGGCCCCGTAGCTTGTTTTGGAAGATGACTTTGTGTATGACTGCCGTGATCACAGTGGAACTCCTGTCATGTCGTATCTTAAGTAACTCTTATCCCCCAGGCAGAAACCCCAGGGACCCCCGAAACTTTGCAACCGCTGCATGAATCATTGACTTCCAACATCTACGATGCAGTTTCGTCGCACGAAATCTATTGGCTCGTGTGCAGGTGCCTGCCGCGCACGGCTTCAAATGACAAGTCCTGGCAGGCTTGGTTCGTGGCTGTTCGCTGTCCGCCTTTAATTGATTAAGTCAGGTGGCATCTGTCCTTCTGATTCTACACCTTGGATTGAAGTTGGTTTCCTGTCTGGGCTTTTGGAGGCTGGGGCACCACTGACAGAAGCTGTGTTCGTAGAAGCCCGACGGGAGTTTAGAGGACGTGTGTTCCATGGAAGGTCTTGAACTTGGCATATGATCAGTGGCTATGCGCGTTGCCAGGTGTCACATGATTAAACCGATGATTGCATCAGCAGGGCCGCTGTGACACAGAAACCATGAATGAAAGTAGAGCTCCCACATGCCACAAGCAGCAGCCGGAACGCACAGCAGGGAACCATCTCACGGGTTTCATGGTCTTGGTGAGCAGGTCCAGTGACGGGGCACACCGACTGCAGCAAAACTGGCTCAACTCGGCAGACCTAGATGAATCAGGGTGTCATAGACAGGACTCAAGGACTTGACTTAACTACTACTGCTTACTTCGTCTACTACTACTACTACTACAACTACTACTGCTACTACTACCACTGCTACTACTACTACTACTACTACTACTACTACTACTACCACTACCACTACCACTACCACTACTACACTACTACACTACTACTACTACTACTACTACTACTACTACTACTACTACTACTACTACTACTACTACTACTACTACTACTACTACTACTACTACTACTACTACTACTACTACTACTACTACTACTACTACTACTACTACTACTAGACTACTACTACCAAGTCAAGGGCTGGCCAGAGGGAGATGCGCAATCCAATTTTCGACATGATGCATTGTCTTTGCCCTGCTGAAACAGGGTTTGAGAGCATGTAATGCGACTTGAGACTTCTTGTATAAATTATACACGGAGTCTGAAGCTTGCATTACATGCTCTTTGTGCGCGTTGCCTGCAGTCATGTCCTCCGAGCTGGCTTTGGTCATCGACTTCGACCCGACAGAGCCAATAAAAGCAGCAGTGCGTCCAAACTCCATATCAACGACAAGCTTGGGGCTGCACCTGGGAGAATAGTGGCCCGGTTGTTGGAACAACCCTGGTGGGCCCCATATTGGGCTTAAGAGCTCCACTTCTTGCTTTTTTCTGGGTCTAGGTCTCGCATGCTCGATCAAAGCAAGACAGGTCGCTGGTGGCAATGGTCTAATTTAGTTGCCTGAGACACGGTACAGTTACAGTTAATTTGGTGTACAGCCGCGTCGATGGTCTCGATTCTGATGAGGCTTGGACCGGGCGTCGTTTCGGCAAGGCGTCGCACGATCTTTGTATGGCAGTGTCTGAGAAATTGGTTCCTGGCTCCCAGACCGATGCGTGCCCGAAGACAAAATTAAATAATACACGTGTCAGTAAGGTTCTCTGTGTCAGGGTAGGACGTTAATCAAGGCGGTCAGTATCGGGCTATAGGGCCCACTGCCCTCTAGGCCAAACTCCTCGAGCGCCGTTTGGGCCCCAGCTGATCATGTCTTCTGCGTCCTGGCTCCAGCTGTTATTGATATACTCCGCAGGCAGATGATTGTGTGACTGTGTCACAGTGCAGGGTAGATGACTGAGTCTCATAAAAGGCCTCGGAGTTCAGACTGAAGGTGCGGGCACCAGCCAAGATTCCAGCTTCTGCATAATTTGCAGAACATTTGCAGTGAAATTAAATTGTGTGTCAGGTCTGATGGGCTTGGCCTCAAGTTCTCTTTCTCAGCAGTTGCCTCGGTGATAGTTGTTGCAGTGGTCAGCCTATCAACGTTGTGCGATTTGCGCAACGGCTAGAAAGGTAGAAAGACATGGCCGTGGCGGTTCTTGTGCAAAGGTCGGCTGCTGGCGTGGTCTTGCCGGCTTCTAGCCAGATGCCGTGTTTGGAAGGCAGTTGAAATGTGAGTTTTGCTTCCTGGGTTTTATGCCGCGAAAGGTCTAGCGTCGACATCCTGCTTCTCGGCCAGGCAGCAGTTGGTTAGTAGCGACTCATTCGACAGTCGGCTAACTTGCCTGCAACACGGCAGGCCTGGCTTGGACATTTCTTCGCCACTACGACGAGGATTCGCGACCCTGTGCTTTTGCTTCCAGTGTTAGGCTTGGGATCATCAGTCAATTTTAACAGGTCTGGGTTGGACTTCTTCTCCGCTTGCTTGCAGCCTTTCTGGACTCAGTCTTTCTATGATGGTTTCGCCGGTTTTTTGATGCCTTTGAATAGCTGGTGGGTGCAGCAAGCTTCCAGCGGCACATATGCCCAGCATGATTCTTGAATTTCCGTTTCAGTCAGGTGTAGACCCAGACGTCCACGAGGTCGGGCCGGCTGCTCAGCTGCTGGTCGTGTTTGTCTGTCATTGTTTTCGGCGCTTGACTTGAAGCTTGCAGCAAGTGGTTGCATCGACTGCCGCTGGCGAGACTTGAGATGGAGCAGTTGGAAGGTCATGTCCATGCCCATGCATGAATGGACTTAGTAAGTAGGTCTTAAGGGATTTCTCTGAAGATCACATTTTAAGGCCCAAAAATCGACTCGAGGGCATCCACAGACTTGCACCCTTGTCTTCGGCATGGCAAGTGTCCTTGCACTGGTTCTTCCGACACCGACGGCCTCATGGTCTTCGAAGAGCGACGTTGCCGGCAGTCTTCGAGGACTCTCGGGCCACCCAGTGTCACTAGTAAGCTGCGTCTGAGCAACTGAGGGACATGAGGACACAGACGCCATGACGTCAGTTTGGCAGGAGGAGCGACCCTTTCAGTGTACTGGGCTTGGGGCAGGTCAAGAACTGGAAGCAGTCACAACGACGACTTCTTTCGCCAAGCTGCCACTTGTCAGGACGCTTTGATTGCAGATCACTGGTTGTGGGTCTGTTATGTCAGGCTTACCATCTGCTTTGTCATGGAATGAAGTGTCAGCTGGCTCGCGCAGACCTTGACTCCTCGAGCAGCTTGACAGACCGTTAAGCTGCTCGAGCTGTCAAGGTCTGAATGAGCCGCTCGCCGCTTGGCTGGTGGTTAACAATAATAAGTTGATTTAGCAAATGCAGTGGCCTGAGTAGCTACATGGTCTGACGAGCTTGTTCGCAGCTGAGGCGTCCTGAAACTGAAACCGTTTCCTTCAGCAGTCGACGATCTGCGAGCTGCGAGTGGCACTCTGTGATAGCACCTGGGTCTCGTTTGCTGCTGCTTTGTGTTTCCGTAGCGGATGATGGGGCTGAAGATTAATTGTTGATTTGCAGAGAATTGCATGTGTGCCAAGCTAAGCTTAGGCAATTTGCAATGACATGTCTTCGGCGTCGACAACAGCTTGAGGAGGTCTGAGTCTCCTGAAACCCGCTGGCACTTCCCTATAGGTCTAGGTTTGGTTTTCGATGCCAGGAATTCGCAGGGGCTGTTTGGTGCAATGTTACGACAAGGTGTGTGCAGCTGTGTCTCATTTAGAGTAGTGGAAGTTGATGCTGGGAGAGCGGTCTTTCATTCGGAAAACTTTGTCGTTGGCGAGCAGTTGCACAGACATTGTGCTGATGGCGTCCCTCATTGCCAATGAAATTTAAAAGCACGCCTGCATGCTTTCGCAGTCGCTGTTGCTTTGCAAACTCTGTTGTTTCAGGAGAGCACTCCTTGACCTGGAAACGGGCTTGGAGCTGCACACTGTGTGGGCTGCGCGGGCTCCAGGCCCGTTTCCAGGTCAAGCGAGCGTCACTGCTAGAGCTGCAGGTGGCAGAGCCACCAAGACGGCCCCTGTCGGTGCCCTCTGGGCCGCATCTATGGTGACGCCGAGCATCGTCATAGGTGCGGCCCGGAGGATTCATGCCAGGGAAGACAGGAAGGAGTGTGCCAGCATTAAAACACTTTTGCCGAACTTCGTTGTGAAACCATGACTATGTGTGCTCTACAAATTATTCAAACATTCCCTGCGATGCGGACTGGCGGCCGTTACTCAAGGACGGACTGTCTATAGGTCTAGCCTGCTAAAGCAGCCATGGCGAAGATATCGAAACGTGCCAGGCCAGCAAAAAGGCCAAGGCGAGGACGACAATATTGGCGAGTGTGTTGAGTCTTGTGATTGAAGTTTCGATTTAGGTCAGTTTGCCTCGCACAGTTGCGATGTGCAGGACCAGTACGAAAACATGCATGAAGGTCGCGATGAAGACCTTCAAGCAGGCTCCTCGGGAGAAGCAGGCTTGTTGGCCTAAGACTGACATCCCGAAGGCAGCCAAGGATGGGCCCGAAGGCCCTACAACTATCTCTGCTAGTTATGACTGGGCCACGGTCTTTCTGGATCGGCTGGAGAAAAACATGGGCCGGGGTCTGGTCCGGAAGAGGTTGCAGAGCTGGAACTGGGATGTTATCAGCACTTTCACTGGGGTCGGCTGTGCGGAGACGGTCGCTTGTCGGACTGTTGTGTCTCTATTTGACCAGTCATTAGGGTAGCAGAGTGAAAGTGGACATCCGTCACGTGCCTTTCATACTTTCCGCCTCTGTCTTCCAGCAGGCATTGCTTACCATCCAAAAAGCGGCCGGTGCTGGACAAGCGGTGAGGCTCCGATGGGCGGTCGAGTCGGACCTCGGCGCCCAAAAGGTCTTGCTGGGCACATACGGGTCTTGCCTCGCCCAGGACATCTTTGAGTTTGACATGGCCGCAAAGACCAACCACTGCTTGCGTCACAAAATGGAGTGCCCGACTTGGCCATCGCAGCGCGGGTCCGGCTACCTGTCTGAGTTGAGAGCCTTAGTGCTGGGGATCTGTAGCACGTCCACCATCAGCATTAAAATAGTCTGCAGCTTCGGTCTCCTCCCATCATCTTAGCCGTGTCATAGGCAAGAGGCGATGAAGAAGGGGTTGAGGTTTGGAAGGTGATGGCAAAGGTTCTCAACGCGACATTTAGTTTTACAGTGTCAGGGTTTTACCATCTGGAGCTCGGCTCATAATTCAAACACAACATGTCTTCAGTTTGCAAGATGGTGCAGCTGGGTGGACCTTTCGAACATTTTTATTTTATGGGTCTCTGTGGGCCTCAACAACTCGCCAACGGTTGTATGTGTTTGAAAGGGTCTGTAGGTCTCAACTCGCCAATGGTTGTATATGTTTGAAAGGGTCTGTGGGTCTCAACTCGCCAATAGCTGTACAGGTTTGACAGGGTCTGTGGGTCTCAACTCGCCAATAGCTGTACATGTTTGAAAGGGTCTGTGGGTTTCAACTCGCCAATAGCTGTACATGTTTGAAAGGGTCTGTGGGTCTCAACTCGCCAATAGCTGGACATGTTTGACAGGGTCTGTGGGTCTCAACTCGCCAATAGCTGTATATGTTCGAGGAATGTCACCAAACGAACTTTCCACAACAAGCTTCAACATATCATTATTAGACTTCGTTTGGTGAGCAATCCCAGGTCCATGTCATGTGTATGTATGTATGTGACGGTGGGGTTAGTCTTGTCCGTCTGTTCTCCATTAAGTAATTAATAAATCAACGGATTCGAGGTCTCCTTGTGTCGGTGGGCGGGGCGCCGTGCACGAGCTACTCCGTGATGGGTCTGCGGAAGAAGTCTAAGGACAAGGTCATGAAGACGCATCGTAGGTATTTCCGCCAGTGCTACCAGGTCTTGGATGCATACCTCTTCGAGAACGTGTGTGAGTACGACCTGAAGCAGCTACGTCTTCCGAAGTCATGGAAGCAGCAGAGTGTTCGGGTTGACCCAAGGACCTTTGGACTGGGCTGTGCCAGGGCTCGCCTCTATGTTATCGCTTACAACACGGAGAAGGTCTGCTGGTCTCAGGACGTGCCGTGCTTTGCAGACATGGTGGCATGCCTGGCGGCAAGGCCTTGTCTGGGAGCGGGAGACTATTTCTGCGATCGCAATGCCAATGCATCCTCCCTGACTCAGTCTGAGGCCTCAGTCTTAAGGACTTACGACGAAAAGCCATGGGACATTGTTGACTTGGGACAGAGGGGAGCATTTCGTCGTGGCACGCTCAACAGCTCCCACCTGCCGACCTTGACCACCAACAGCGCGAAACTCTTCAGCAAGGCACTTGGTCTTGAGCCGGGGTCATGCAATCATGTGCTGAATTCTGGAGTGTCCCGCTATTTCCGATGCAGGCCAAGAAGCGGTTCATGACCGCGGACGAAATGTTTCAATCCCATGTTTTGGCCACGAACAAGGATCAGGCCAGTTGCGGCAGCCCGGTCTTGGCCAGGTCTCACCTGTCTAGGTCTTCTGCAGTGATGCTTGCCGGGAATGCAATGAACGTCCCATGTGTTGGAGCTGCTCTTCTGGCAGCTATTCTGGCCTTGCAAAGGGTCTAGATTTCGCAGCAGAGGCTGGGGAAAAGTCTCTGTCTCTCCTTGATTCTGCCAAGCACAAAGGCAGACAGAAAAATGTGTGTGCGGATGCTGTTCTCTTTGAGTTTGTCCTTGTCAGCAAGCTTGGATGCTGTAAGTGTGTGCCTGCTGGTCCTAGGCCGACGACAATGGGGGCTGGATATCTGGCCGGAGCCTTGCGTGGGCATAGACTCATATGTGCAGTGTGTGGCAGAGGACCACGCATTCCCGAGTCGGGCTTGGTCTTTGCTCGCTCGAGGCTGGGACAGAGGCTTCAGGGCTGTTTCATTGTGTTCCCGGGCCGAAGCCTTTCCTTGAACCTGAGTCCTTCAACTCGACTTTGTCTGACCGTCTGCCAGGTACAATTCGACTCTGAGAGTGGACTTGGTCTCGAGAAATCCGCTAAACTGCGGGATTCGACTGCCCCGCAAAACTGCGGATTTGCTGAGCACGCATGGAGGGTGCTTATTGGGATCCAATATGCCCCCTCCATGCGTGCTCATGAAACTGCAGTCGTTGCCTCTTTGCATTAGGGTTTGAATGACAGGTCTCGAAACATCTGCAAAGTTGCGGGATTTGCATGCTGTGACTGCCGCAAAACTGCGGATTTTTGCTGTGGTGATTGCCTCTTTGCATTAGGGTCTGAATGACAGACAGAAATCGCTTGCAGAAAAGATTTTTCAGCCCAGCCGAAACGCCCACCCAGTAATTTTGGGGTCCTCATAATAAGGATCCACTTTGTTGGGGTGCTATAATTATTAGGGTGCCCTATTTTCAGAAACTCCCATACCTCAAATTGGCTTCTGTTCTCAGTCCACCTCGTCCCAACATCTTCGCTGCAGGCGATGTTGGGATGTCTTCCCCCTTCGCAGTCGTTTTGTGGTTGGAGGCTACGACTGCCCTACCGAAAGCCTTGAACCCAAAGCAAAGCCCCTTGACCCACAGCCCAAACCCTGTGAATGTCTTCATTCAAAAGTTTCAAAACTCTAAAGCCCGCAACCCAAAGTCCTACAGCCTTTAAGCCAAAGCCTTACAGCCGGTAACAGCTGAGGGCCCTGTACGTCGGTGCCTGCCTCGGGCGCTCCCTGGGCATCGTCGCTGCATGGGCGAACGGCTTCTTTGCAGCTTTGAACTTTGGGGTGGGTTGGTGGTTTAGGGCTTTAGGGGGAAAGGGGGGATCATGCTGTAACCGGGCTGCTGGACAACGAGGCCTGCTGCAAAACGGGCTTTAGGGTTTTGGGCTTTACGGTTTCTTGAGGCTTTGGCTTTAGAGTTTAGGGGCGTTTTTTCCAGTCCCTACGAGCGATCACCCGGAGCCAAGGACTAGCAATCAACTATCCATCTACCAACTGCTGCCATGTCCTTTTGTATCAGCTACTTACCACTGTGAGGACCCCACATTGCCTGACTGACCTGAACTCCCCGGCACCCAAACGCGAGCCCCTGGTTACATTACCACGAGACCGGAAGTGTTGAATCCTGAACCCTGAATTGGCGGGAATACGTAAAAAGAAAAACAGAACCGCCCTGAGCTACCTCCGGATGCGACGGCCTGTCACAGTTGGGATGACGCAGAAAACTAAACCCATGCAGGAGGCAAAAAAACCCTAGGCGACCAGAATTATGGCCAATTGTACGTAATATCCGCATGATCGTATACACAAGGTACCGTGGCGGGTCGATGTCATCTAGACTCGGCACATAGGCGACAATAGCAATGACCATTCTTTGTTATCGTGGTCATGGCCATCCCAGTGAAACTATCCACTGTGAGCCCTAGCCGACCTAAATCCCTGAAGCCGCTTGAGCCCTCAATCCTGCAGCCTAATAAACTGGGCTTTGGAGTACCATACTTTAATACTTTTTTGGGACCTGGTACTTAAAGGGAGCCACTATGAAATAGAAGTCTGATTTTTTTTCTCCCTTGTTACTTCAAAGCCCAGTAAAGCTACGCTACAGTCTAAGATTATCATGCTCAGCTGCCCTTTGTTGAGCCAAGGAGTTTTAGGATTCGCCCCGACTATCCATCCTGGCTTCTACGTGACATGGCAGCCAGGGCATTCCTACATAGCATCGGAATATGTCGGTTTAGGGTTTAATGAATTTCTGCTATTTTCTGTAGTCGCAGGCTGATTCGTAGTCGATATCTATCTGTCTATCTATCTATTTATACATATATGTTCAATATATGTATATATGTATATGTATACTATCATAGACTCCAGAGGAGAGTCTTAATAGTTGTGCATAAGAGGCATCCACCCGAATCTCAACAGCCCTGAGCCTTGCATCCACAAACGCGAACCTGTAGGACCTCGCACCAGCTGTTGAAGCAGCCTTGCTCTACCTTAAGGGTCCATGTACTCATATAGTATATACATTGGCCTTAATGTAGTCCCTATACAGGTACTTTGGGGCCCATGTATCTCTATATGGGTACATGGACCCTTAGGGCTATATCTCGAAGAGCTTGCAAAGGGTTCAGCATTCAGGTGCGCCCCTTGATGAATACGTATACAGGTCTGAGTCTTGTAACAACTCGGAAAGGACTGGCCTCTTCACAATGGGACCATTCAACCCTATCGTTTCTTAACCTACAAGTCTCCTACAGCCCAGAGCCCTGAACCATGCCTGGGGACCTGAACCTTCATCCTCAAAGCTGCCAATCCTGAATCCCCAGCACTTAAACCCTCAACTCCTGATGGTGATGATTCACGGACCGATGCCGGCCAGCACTGAGGCTTGCAGGGCGTATGTTCGTCGATTCTCGTCATTGGCCTGTGTTGGTTAGGGATCAACACTGACCAAAAACCAACCCCTGAACTCCCCCTAAACCCGCAGAGCCCTAAACCCAAGAGCTCGAAACCCCAAAGCCCCTGTAACAGTACTATCAGATTATCATTGGTTTGTTGTATAAGTAGATACCATGTCTATTCCCATGCGATCACTATCGTACTAGAGAGCCCCAAAGCCCCCTACTTGGAGGGTCGGGGGACTTAGTAACTGGTTCTTTTAGGGACTTATAAGTGCCATAACCCCAACTAGGGTCCCTTTTAGGGCACGTATAGTAGACCCCTTTTTTCCAAAAGACCATAACCCCAGTTAGGGTCCCTTTTAGGATACTTATAGTAGACCGCCTTTTTTTCCAACTCTCTCAAGGCCATGGTGGGAGCCGCTTCTGTCTTGGGCGGAGTCTGCCGGGTGACGATCTCCCTGGTTGTGATCATGCTCCTCGTTTAGGCTTTTGAGGCTTTTGGTTTTTAGAGGGTTTACGGTGTAAGGGTTTAGGGTGCAAGCATTTCGGGTTTAGGGCATAGGCTTTTTTGGGGATAGGGTTTTTTTGGCAGACGGCTTAGATTCTATGCTTCGTGGTTTAGAGGGTTAGGGGTGTCAGGTTTTTGGAGAGTTTAACATAGCTGACACTCCTCACCAATCGAAATGCAACATACCCCATAGAATTCCAAAGCCCTATTCTGAGTATGCCTGCTGCCATGTTTCCGATCGTGCTTCTGTGTCATGGTTTGAGTTTGATGTGTCGAGTCTTCAGGTTTGCGAGGTACCCTTGATAGAGTTTTCCTACGGTTTCTTGATCCTGTGGATATTCAGTAGACTCCCAGAGTTTAGGGAAGTTTCCTAACTTGAATCATCCCGAAGGTAGGGCTCCGACGGAAGGCTTGTGAGAGTGCAGTCGATGGATACCAGTACAAGCAGCCCTCGACCATGTAAGCTTGTCCGAACATGATGAGAAGGGTCTAGTAGACTTGGTCGTTCTACCATCCTGAGCACAGCTGCCGCAGCTGGCCACTTAGAGATTTGCAATGCTTTCCAAAACAGTCCTGAAAGTCCTCCACTGTTTTTGGTCGAGGCCAGGGACGTCAACTGTCAAGAGTCTGCATGAGGACCCGACGACCCCATCAAATTGTTCTATGTCTTTGCCGCCTGCGGCTGTGGGTATGGGGTCTAGGGTTCCGGCAGAGAGCAGCGAAGCTCCTCTCCTGGCGGCGTATGCTTGTGGACCCCAAGCCCTCTATTGGAGCGAGAAGTTGATGCTGCAACATACGTTTGTTTTGCGTTTCGGTACGGTCGGGTTCCGGGGGGAGGGGAGCTATGCAGGGTAGGTGAGCGGAGGTGGAGGTGGTGGTGGGTGTATGGCAGCGAGCCGAAGGGGTGGAAGCCAAATGACCTCCAAGCCTTAAGGCCAACACTCCGAACCGTAGATCCGATGTGGGAGTTTCCGAAAATTGGGGTACCTTGTTATTTTGGGGTCCTTAAAATAAGGATCCTACGGTTTAGGGTACTATATTCGGGTACCCCATATCACCCATATCCCAAACCTGAAGATCTCAAGCCCTACGGTAGAAGGCCAACAGTTAGAGACCTCCAATGGCCTCAAGCTTTACCTACTATGGGGGTTTTGTTATAAAGGCCTTAATAATTTGAATAGGGCTTTTGGGGCCCATACTACCATAAGTACCAATTGTCTTGAATCCGGTTGGGGCTTACCATGAGCCGTTTGCTCCTCAACGCACGCCCCAAACTGTAAGTCAGAAGAAAATACACGTCTAAGACCAGAAGTCCACATTCCACGAAGAGACAAGCAAAAGCCCAAAACACCCAAGCATCCCCGCAAACCCTAAACACGCAGAGCAGTGTGCCCCTCTGGCATGCCGTAATATAGGGGCCTTAATAATTACCCAACGATATTTATTTGGGGGCTCCTCATAATGATTGTAATACAATGGGCCCCCAAACCCCTATTCTAATCATTAAGGCCCCACTTGGAGGTTCATGGGTAGTTACAAGTGGGGCTATAAGCTCCCTAATTGGAGTTATAAGTATAGTTATCCTAGTTATAACCCTACTTATAACTACCCGTGAACCTCCAAGTAAAGGGAACTCCAGAAAGTTGGAATATGGTTTCAGGGTAAGATACCTTATATTTTACCATAAAGGGCTTAGGAGAATCATATTCCAACTTTCTGGCTTTTACTTTATAAGGGAACGAGAAACCCGACACTGAGGTTTGAGCTCACAGGCGGCTTGTACCTCATCGTGCCCTTTATGATTGCACCTCGGGCCGCCTTGGGCTTTTGCTTCGGGGGTCTGGGACTTCGGGGTTTAGGGTATTTCGGGTTTAGGACTTCAGGGTTTCGGATTTCGGGTTTAGGACTTCGGGGTTTAAGGTTTAGGACTTCAGAGGGTTTCGGGCTTGCGGTTGAAGAGCTTGCGGTGAGGTTTGGGCATACCGGAGTTACCAGAGAGTCTAGACTCTGGATCCCTAGAGCTGAAATTAGTTTCGGGTTTAAGGTATCGAAGTATTATGTATGGTCACCCGAGACATCAATTCCGCAGGCGGTTTTGGCAGCGAAGTGGGTGGGAGACCAGTACAATCGCAGCATCTACGACTGCGTGATTTCCTTGCGCGGATATCCGTGCCCCGACAAAAGTTGTGTGGGTTGGCGAGGTTTCGTTCTCATATTTCAGAACTGTAGTGGCCTGAATGTTTGATTTGGAGGCTGTCCTTGCGGGTCCCTCTCTGGTTAGTTGTAACAAGGCTTGGCACATCTATTCCCCAAACCCCCAACTAACCTCTCATATACCCCAAATACCCACTACTAAGGGCCATAAGGACTCTAGCCCAAGCCTCGAAGCCCGCACCCTTCCATCCTTTACTCTCCACTCGGTCCCGAAGCCTGGTCTAGGGTTTTCAGTTTGGGGATAGCCAGGACCCCCCAGGGCCGTTAGATAGAGTCCTTATGGCCCTTAGTAGTGGGCACTTGGGGTATATGAGAGGTTAGTTGGGGGTTTGGGGAATAGGTGTAACTACGCCTTATGTTACTTATCACCCAAGCCTGGAGTAAGCAGGGTTTTAACGTTGGGGATATATGTATGCACATATACATATATATAATTAGCCATGCCTTGTAGTAGTCATAAACCTACTTACTTACGAAGTCCGCTGCATCTCCGGGTAGATGCGAAATTTCCTTGGCTTACCCTAAGGCCCCAAAGTAGTTCCTATTTGGAGTTGATATTTAGAATCCTATAAGGTACTCCCAAAAAGGAACTACTTTGGGGCCTATGGGTAGTTGTGTGTCGGACAGACAATTAACCCTAAAGCACTACCCATAGGGCCCCAAAGTAGTTCCTTTTTGGGAGTACCTTATAGGATTCTAAATATCAACCCCACAAAGGAACTACTTTGGGGCCTTAGGGCATGTTGCCTAAACGCCAAAGTACCCAGGATCCCTGTCACATTAGACAGCGCATGTCAGGCCGCCTGACTTCCTGAAGAATACCGAGCACAGGGTCCCGTAATCATCGAAGGGAACTTTGAGTTTAGGGTTCAGGATCAGGGCAGTTCAGGGTTGAGGGGATCTCAGTAATTATGAAGGGAATTTTAAAGTTTAGGGTTCAGGATTAGGGCAGTTTAGGAGGGGATCTCTTCGCGTCAAGGCTTCAGGCGGTACCGTTTGCTTCTATGAGGAGACTTACATAAAGCTCCATGCAGAAAGGGGCGGATACATGCAGCAGCTTATGGGCTGGCTTGGGGAGATACCTTGAAGTTGAAGCCCCGTATCCGAAGCCTTGTCGTTTCCTGCTCCCCAGGTTTTTGCACGAACCCGACGACGTGACCTACTCTGCAAGGGCTTGTGACATCATGCAAGAGGCCGCCGTTTCCGTGAATGAGAGGTGAGGGCTTCTTAGAATTGGAACGGGGGGGGGTGACCTCTTCCAGGGGTCGCAGTGGCTTAAGGTGCTTTCTGAGGTGTATGCGGCAGCACGGTTTAGGGTTAAGGCCAGAGAATTTGCATTTTAGGGCTTCAAGGGTCCAGAGCCGATCTAGCTTCGTGCGTAGGGTAACGAGCCCTTAGTAGGGTTTAGGGTTCATTTAGGCCATTTAGGCTGCCGTGAAGAATCTGCACAATCCGCAAGGCCTTCACCAGGCCCCTATGCGTCAACGATGTCAAGCACTCAAGCACGTGTCCTGCAAAGCTTAACGCAAGCTAAATGTATGGTGGGTTTCGGACTACCCTAGACCTGAAGACTTTATTAGACCCTAAATCCTGAGCTTCCGAAAGCCCAATGGCTCTGCGCCCCAGCCAAAGAGTCGCGGTCTATGCCATCGAAATCCAAGCTAAGTCTTAAATCGAAATCCTATAGACCTGCCAAACACTTCGACATATTCCTTGCAGAGTGAAACATGAATGGTCCGACACAGATGCTTCAATGGGACCACTCGGCGCGTTCGTATCAACCTCGCAAGCTTCGTGGTAAGTTCATAGGCCCGAAGTGTTTCGGTTCGGAATCCGTCGGAGCCAGAAGCCACTCCAAGATTCTTCTGCATCGCCCATGATCGGCTGACCGATCGTTGCGGTGGTGGTGATGGTAGTACATAAAACTTATTCAGCGGCAGTAGTATTAGTAGCAGTAGCAGTCTTCGTCGGAGTAAATTATTATTATTATTATTATTTCTATTATTATTATTATCATTAGCATTAGTATTAGTATTAGTATTAGTATTAGTATTAGTATTAGTATTAGTATTAGTATTAGTATTAGTATTAGTATTAGTATTAGTATTAGTATTAGTATTAGTATTAGTTATTAGTAGTAGTAGCAGCAGTAGTAGTAGTAGTAGTAGTAGTAGCATTAGTAGTAGTAGTAGTAGTAGTAGTAGTAGTAGTAGTAGTAGTAGTAATAGTAGTAGTAATTGTAGTAGTTTAGTAGTAGTAGTAGTAGTAGTAGTAGTAGTAGTAGTAGTAGTAGTAGTAGTAAGTAGTAGTCGTAGTAGCAGTAGTAGTAGTAGTAGTAGTCAGTAGTAGTAGTAGTAGTAGTAGTAGTAGTAGTAGTAGTAGTAGTAGTAGTAGTAGTAGTAGTAGTAGTAGTAGTAGCAGCAGCAGCAGCAGTGGTACTGGTGGTGGTGGTGGTGGTGGTGGTGGTAGTGGCATTGGCAGTTGCAGTGCTTGTGGTAGTAGTAGTAGTAGTAGTAGTAGTAGTAGTAGTAGTAGTAGTAGTAGTAGTAGTAGTAGTAGTAGTAGTCGTAGTAGTAGTAGTAGTAGGAGGAGGAGGAGTAGGAGTAGGAGTAGGAGTAGGAGTAGCAGTAGCAGTAGCAGTAGCAGTAGCAGTAGCAGTAGCAGTAGCAGCAGTAGTAGTTGTTGATGTTGTATTCATCGTCGTAGTAGCGGTAGTCTTCTTCGTAGTAGTCGCAGCAGCAGCAGCAGCAGTCCTCCTCGTCGTCGTCATAGCCCTAAGAAACCCTAAACCCTAAACCCTATCCCATGCTGTGCCTTGGCAGAACCTGCATTGCTTACCGGTGGAGCCCGGTTCTGCAGCCTGGGTGCTCCGCGACGCGATGCAGGTCACGACTTGGGATGTGGGAGCTTCCGAAAGTAAGGGGTACTATATTTTGCGGTCCTTATAATAAGGATCCTACTCTTTAGAGAACTATAGTAGGGTCCCCAATTTTCGGAAACTCCCATTTTGGAGTGTAAGTTTCAGCTTTAAGTCGGGCTCAGACTGAGTTCAGTCGAGTCAGTCGAAGGGCTTTGGCATAGGATGCGCAAGAGTCGGGATTGTGAGTGCTCAGGTGACTTTTGAGAGGGGCTTCCGGGGTTTAGGTATAGGTGTTTGTCATGATCTCGGGAGTTCTGCAATGAGGGTCCTGCGTCAGAGGCACTTCAGCTGCACAGCTAACGGCAACAGGTCCTGCCTCTGGGGACCCGAGGTACGAAACCACTTTTGTGTTGCTTTCTTAAGACATAGCATCTTGTACGAGATACCTGGGTGCCCTTATTCTTACAAGGGGTTACCGGGGAGCCTGGAAAACCTACGTGCTCAGTCTTGATAGACACACCTTGGCTACTGCTCTCAGACAGTGACAGTCTACAACAAGGGTATCATTAAGGGCCTCTTATATAGTCTATATTGGAAGCATTATCCAAACTTGTACTGAGTAGCGCCATTATCCAAACTACAAGCACCGGATGCCCCAAGCGTGGACTTATCCCTACATGCTAAGCCTGTAAGCCCTGAACAGTGACCACAAGTGCCACCGGCCTATATGGGAGTTTCCGAAAATAGGGGACCCTAATATAGTACCCTGAATAGTAGGTTCCTTATTATCTGAACTGGAGCCTTGACTGAACTCTTAAAGAACCCATCAGTAATTCCTAAATCCCGAGACCCTAAACCCTAGAATTGGAAGAGCCCGGCAATTTTCAAAGCTGAATCCACACACCGAAATCCGAAGAAGCCTTCCTCTACAGGGCCACGCCGGTTGCTGGGGCTTCACACCCCAAAGAAGACTCAGTCGACTAGAACCCTAAGAAAGCTGCACTTGCGGGTCTCTGCAACATGCACAACTATGCTGCTCAACTTCATCTAAGTCATGAAAGCGATAGGGTTTCGAGGGCTGCGGGTGTACCCGGAAACTTCTGGTACCCTTTCTTGCCCCAGCGGTATCCTTATAGAAGCCGCGTTCTCAGTGAAGCCTTGGTCTTAGTTTGTTTGGGTTGCAGGTTTACGGTTTAGGGAGGGCTCCGGCAATAGATCCTTTACCCCAGAGTCTCGGCTTCCTTCAGCACTGAAGCTAGACATGTCCCGGGAAGCGATGGGTAGATAAACAAACGAACAACATGGAATGGGCGCCCATCAGTTGACAGATCTGAGTTGAATTGGCAGGTAAGTAGGTCAATAAATGAATATCGAGCAAGTAAACATACAAATAGATGCACGAAGGCTCCAACTTGGCATGCATAAGACAATACATACATATGTATATGTATATCTATGTGTATATAACGTGCATGCATGAAATGTATGTATGTAGGTAGGTAGGAATACATATATGTGTATATATATATACACACACATACACGTATAGAACCTGTAGAGTCTGTATAGAGCCTGTCCCCACATGTTGAGGCGCCCTTTGCTGGCTTCCCGGTCGTCAGGCCTCTTCTGTCTAACATGAACGCCTCAAGTTGAACATGGGGCTTCCTCTAAGCTTCCGAATCGGGGGATAGGGTGTAGGCTTTCGGATTCAGGACTTTGTACTTTCGATATTGTTGAGGTTTCAAGGGTTCAAGGATGCAGGATTCATGAGTTTTGGATATTCTGATTTGGCTCGAGGGTTTAAGGTTTTGGTGTTTCATGTGTAGTCGCAACTTGTAGGTCATAGCAGGATAAAGCGAGATGGGCAAGTATCTTCGAACTTCCATTTGCTGGAGATTGAGGTCGCATTCTGAAGGATGTAAGACAGGGAACTTCTAAGCCATCCAGACTGAACCAGTAGACCCTAAACCCTGACCAGGTCCCCAACCCTGATTTGTTTCCCAATCCTTTTTTCCGAACCCTAGACCCTTAGCCCAAAACCCTACACCCAAACCGTAATTTATGTCTGAATCCGACTTCCTTTCTTCTAAGACAGGTCCCAGGAGGACATGTCTTTCGTCGGCTATGTTCGCGCCCGGCCGCTGCAGCAGTTTCTGGTGGGGGGAGAGGGGGAGGGATAGAGACGGAGAGTGTGCTGAGTTTTCAGGGGTGAATTTGTGCTTTGAGGATTTCTCCTGCGTGTTGGATCTGGCTTTGGGTTTTCGGGTTTGGGCGGTTTTCGCATCGGGTTTGGCCATTGTTGACAGCCTTTCCCTCACTCGGAGACGACAGGACTCTTCGGGTTTTACTGTGGTTTCCTAAACCCTAAATCCCTGGGAGTGGGCTGAGGGAATTCTATCAATCAGCAGAGCTCAAACCGATCAGACCAAGGACGATACCAAATACCGTGTCTGTGTCCTACTGGCTGTGGACAAGTTCATCATTCACTGATATCCTGGGTTCCTAAGCGCATATCACGAGTTGGACTTTCAACAAGGATGTACCCTAAGCCGCGGAACTACCTTGAACCCTCAAAGCCCTGAGCCCTAAACCCTGACTAAGCCTGTGTGCAACTGAACCCAAGAACCCTCCAGGGCTTTGACGCCAAACCCCAGACGAAACAACTAGCTCGAAAAGCCCCAAACCTAAAACCTGGCACCCTTAAGCCATAAACCACTAACCTTGCCTGGCTTGTCCGAGTGAGAGCGCCGAAACCTTTAAAGCTTAATCCCTGAAGCCCCAAGTCTTGAATCCCGTTCACTTAAGCCCACACCCCAAAACCCTTACCTAAACCCCCCCAAAGTAGGTAAAATCATGGCCCAATACCGAAAAAAGGCTATTATTCTACATACTTTTGGGGTCGAGGTACTACTAAGGGTACGTTACAGGAACCCCCTAAACCCTAAACCCTAACCCCCATTAAGGGATCTACTTTTTGGATCCTCCCGGCCCTGAAGCTCGCCGCCGACAGGAAGACCAGCTAAAGACCGGCTGCTGTCTCGAGGCGTTCAGGGCTTGGATGCTTTAGAGTTCAGGGGCCTTACTTAGTTATAAATGTTCCTTTAAGGGTCCCTTTAAGGGGTCTGTAGGAATTCTATAAGGGTATAGGGTTTAGGGCATACTTGGATGCTTTAGAGTTCAGGGGCCTTACTTGGAGGTTCATGGGTAGTTATAAGGCTTCCTTTAAGGGTCCCTTTAGAAGGATCTATAGGGATTCTAGAAGGGTATAGGGTTTAGGGCCTTACTTGGAGGTTCATGGGTAGTTATGAGTAGGGTTATAAGAAGGGCATCCATACTTATAACCCATATTAGGGGACTTATAGATTTAACGTTCAAGGTCAAGGGTTTGGTTTATTTGGCAGTTACGGCCTTGGAGCCCAATGTTGTTTATGCAGTTTCTAGAACGTCAAAGTTCCTTTTGACGGTTGGGTGTTGAAGGGGTTAGTGGTTGGGTCGTTCGACCCAGGTATTTGGGCAACACCAAGACGTGTTCCTATGCTCACGAGAACTGGGATGCAAAATCCAACACATAGGCATGCCCGAACTTGTAGCAGGAGAAGCAGCAGTAGCAGTAGTCACAGCAGTAGCAGTACCAGCAGTACTGGCCGTAGTAGCAGTAGCAGCAGTAGAAGCAGCAGCAGCAGCAGCAACGGTAGCAGCAGCACTAGCAGCAGCACTAGCACCAGCACCAGCACCAGTACTGGTAGTGGCAGTGCCAGTATCTATAGCAGTAGCTGTAGCAGTTGCATTTAGTTTTGGTGTTGCTGTAGTAAAGGACTAGCTGGCTAGCTGTACTTGGGTTCGTGATTCTTACTTGCATACAGGCCCATGACCGCTGACATGGCTAACGCCAAAAATTCCGCATCTCTTGTAATTCTCGTTCCGACAAGCAGCTAAGCCTTCGACTACTCCACTCTTTTGACCTCTGTCATGATTCTAAGTTCACTTTGTCCGCTTTTCCCCGATGACTTGGACTGGGTGGAGGATCCCGAAAGGCATACGATTTCAGACAACACCCGTCTCGTGCTTGGCGAGGAGACACCTGTGTCCTTCCTTCCCTGCCAATCGTCAGGCTCGTTGGGATTTGCCGCATGGGGCTCAGGGTTGTTGTTTGGGTGTTCAGGCTTGGGGGTGTTGGGGGTGGAGGGGTGGGAACCGGGATCCTAGTTGGTAGCAGGGGTTCACATGATTGTCTTCCTCCGTGCCGCTTGGCAAGTTTCCTTCCGGAAAGGTTTGCAGCGCTTAATCTTAGGCCAGTGGCTCCAGCATCCCGAAGGTGCGGAAAGTTTGGTAAAGATTACGAGAAGTCACGCAGTGTACCTTTGAAAAATGACAAGCGTATACATATAATGTGAAGCCGGATTTGGTCGTTAAAGTCGGTCCGCCAAAATGCCACCAGAGATCCTACCACCAGATCCTACCTTAATCCTCTTGTCGTTCTCATATAGGTAGGTCAGACATTTCTCTTTGTCATTTGCCTGATACTTTCAGCTCTTCTCGGCTTGGTGGAGTATAGTTATCAATCATGAAGTGAAGTTGTCGCATGTCTTCCTCCAGCGAAGTCAGGGGGGAATACGCACGCACATTTAGCAGCCCTAAACAAATCTAAACCTCATAGCAGCGTTAGGAAACAGTTGGGAACAATAAGGTCTGAAGCACTATTCGAAAACCCACCCTGGTACGACCCTAGAGCATTTGGTGGAACCGAACTTCAGCAAAGACACCACCCAACCCCCGACACGCCCCCCGCTCCACCCTCTTCGCCCACATTGCAGCACAGTCAGGGGTGCTAGATGCCTCGAAGCTCGTTGACACTTCAGCGCTCCTGGGCACGCATGCATGAGCTTATACCCAAGGCTCCATAGTAGCTCCTTTTGGGGGTTCATATTTAGAATCCTATATGGTAATCCCAAAAAGGAACTACTATGGAGCCCCTGGGTAAGGACAGTCCTTCCGTTGATATCGTTCCGGGGTCAAGAGTTGCTGGGTTGGATTTCGCTTCGAGGTCTGGTTTGAGGCTTAGTTTGTACAGCTTCAGGAGCATAAGGCTGTGGGAGTGGATTCAAGGTGGCCTGGTTACATCGTCCCGTTTCTCTCGAGAGTTCATCGGGGACCTGAAGACAGCCCCAAAAACCAGCCTAGTATAGGGGCCTAAATAATCATACTATTTCGGGGGCTCCTTATTATAAGTATAGTATAATGGGCCCCCAAACCCTATTCTAATTATTACGGCCCCTATATTAGTCTCTAACCAGAGGGAGCCTAGAGGACCCAGAGCCTGCTTTGGGGGAATTAAGAAAATTAGGGGTACATTGTGTTGGGGTCCTTATAGCAATGATTCTACTATTTAGGGTGCTATATTAATCAACGTCCCCTATTTTCGGAAACTCCCATATAGCTGTAGTTTCAAGCAAACTCAGGTCCAGATGAGACTTGGCTTTAGGGCCAATGCCAAACACCACAAGCCCGAAACCCTACCGTTATCAATCTCAAGCGCCAAACCGCCAAAGCCCTTATCCCGCAAAAAACCCTAAACCCTAAAACCCTGAACCTTAGATTAAAACCCGAAAGCCCTAAACCCCAAAACCCGAAACCCCTAAACCCCTAAACCAGCTTGTAGTACCGACCGTCAAGGCACACCGCACCAGAGGCCTCGTCAGGCATGTCCGAGTTGCAAAAGAGTAAACCCCTAAACCCGAAACCCTGAACCCTTAACCCTTACCATGGCTGCGAGGCTTCTTGTGGTGCCAGATACGCCAGCCCCGCAGGCGCCGAGACAGTTTGAGCTAACGCAGAAGCTGCAGGGATTTAGGATGTTTTAGGGCTTCAGGGTTTTAGGCTTTAGGGTTTAGGGCCGGCTAAGCTTTTTGGATATTTTTTTGGGGGGGTTGGGGTTTGTGTTGGGAGAAAGGTCCAACCGAGGCTTTACGTATTGAACGGTCCATGCCAGGTTTGTGTGGGGTTTGGCTTTTCTAGGTTTGGTGCAGAGTATAGCGGTTAAACGTTCTTGACAGTGGTTTTTCGGGTTTCAGAGGTGGTGTTGGTCTGGATTTTAGAGCAGATTTAGGTCCTCCCCGTCGCCACTGAAACACAAGCTGGCTTGTGATTTGGTAGTTTCAGAAACGCAAGCATAACATAACATAGACCCCAAAATGTTGGAGTCCTTTTGAAGCCAATGGTGGAATGCTTCGAGAGCATGACATGCTGTAGCATTGTCCTTAAACACACCTGAAACCCACATAGTCAACATTTTTGCAAGGTCAGTACCAAGTAGGGGCTTCTTGAGTTAATCGAAGCTTGAGCCAGGTGCATGCCATCTTCCACCAGCTGGGCGTCAAGGTCATTTTCGTGAAGCGCCACTTGGAAGTCCAGCAAGCATATGCCTTTGTCCTACGCAACATAATAAGCCTGTGCAGTTCCTTGGCCCTGCAGGACAACATTTTCTAAATCTTGAAGTCAGAGTGCTGAAGCAAAGAAATTGGAAAAACAAACAAGCCCCAAGGCCAGGGAAAACTCGCTGGTATGGTGACGAAGAAGCGACTTGGCAGAGGGCAGAGCCCATTTTAGTAATCATTTCACGGTTGGTGGGTCTGGGGTCTGTTTCATTGCCCTAAGGCCCGCACCTGTGCACTTCGCCAGCGAACAAAGATTTGCAGGCCCCGGAACAGCATTGACGCAGCACTGTCACCCTTACCCTTGAGCCTGCCTTGTCGGTGGGGCTATGCGAAGTTGCTGCTGCTTTGTCTGTGCTCCCGGTTCTCGGTATCTAGCCCGTAACAAAAGAAGCACAGTTGCCAAATCAACAGCGTTTCGCGTTTCAAGCAATGCCCACTATAACAGCTCAGATGAACATATGGCTGCAGGCACCACCGCAAAGAACAACGACAGGAAACTCAAACAACGGTCTTAGGAAGAGCAGAAGCGAATGCAGAGCGAATGAGCTCACCCTGCAGGCTTTTGAGGGGTTGGCCCATTTCAACCTTTACCCTGAGCCTCCTTGTATCAACAATCATGTGGTAGATGTACTTTGTCCCGCAAGCTTTTGTACAGGACCATAAGAACCTCTTCAGGCCGATATATTCTCTCAGGATAATCGCCAAGCTCTACACTCTATTATGCTGCAGGCCTTAACATTGGTCAAGTTATGAAGGGGTCCGGATTCAGCGCGCACCTCCGCAAAGGATTTACGTGAAGTTAATTGTTTGGGGATCTGCAAAGCATAAAACTGTCTAGACACTCTAAGCTCGAAGCCCCGGACGCCTTAAACCCACCGTCAGGCACCCCTGGCACGATTTCGCTTTTGTGTTTGAGATCAACCTATGTTCGTAAACCCCTTTTTGTCTTAGTGATCTACAATTATATATAAACATAGGTATAGATATACACACACACACATGATTTTAATATGGTTACAAATTGTTGATTTTGTTCTGTCGTTCTAGAGCACGTTTAGTTTCGAGTTTTGATGCGGGGGATTGGGCTGGGGTTGTCAGGTCATTTCTACACTTCCTGGAACATGGCCACGACTTGTTGCATCAGCCGTCTGCGAGCTGCTTGGTACCAATCTAGGATTGGGACAGATTTTGCGGTTATGAGGCAACAGATAGAAGATTCTGCGCCGTAAGACCAGATGATTGTGCTAGGAGCGTTCTGGTGTGTGTCATACGGGTCTTGGTCTTGCTTCGGCAGACTTACTTTGTAGTGATGGTAGGTGAACTGGTGGTGACTATCCCACTCAATCAAACCCTAAACCCTAAACCCGACACCTGGGCCTTTGAGACCAAGCGCGTTCTAAACTCCAACTCCGCAGACCCTCACTCATAGTCCCGTGAGACAAGAACGATGCCTTATTCATCCAGGGAACGACCCCAAGTAGGACTCCAATTCTTCAATTTAGCCCTTTATGAATCATGGATTGGCACTGGGGCAGTCTGGGTTCAGTAGCTGTTGGTCGAAGGCTTTCTGTTGAGCCGCTGTGCACGTATCTTGACGGGGTTAGGGAGGGACTATTTGGCTGTGTAGGAGTTCGGGCATCGGGCTTTAGGGTTCGTTTTAGGATTCAGGATTCGCTCAAGGGTCTGAAGGTTTGTTGACAGAGGCCGCCGCCGCGTGCCTTAATGCTAGCCCTGAACCATCCTATTGTAAACCCTAAAGCCCTAAACCCTGCACTCGAGGCCCTATACGGTTCAAAAGCCCTGAAACCAAGCTCGCGACATTTCAGACCAATTTGCTTGCTCCTTCTGGCTTGGCTGCGGGGTACACTTTTGCAGAACTACCCCCAGTATTTCGAATCCGACGGGCCATGCTCGAACATCATACGGAGCCTTCGTAGCCCAAGGCGTCCTGCTGTAAACCCCCACCACTCCTCCCAAAAAGAAAGCGCTTTCAATGACATAGCGTCGTAAGGACGTCATAAGGAAGCCGTAAACCTTAGCCTATAGCCTCTAGATCGAAACATCCCCCATCCTGCAGCAGCACAAGGCCACCACACCATCACTGTGCATAGCATCCTGGCTTTCAAAGACTGTCAGGTTTTGTGCTTTTGCAAGCCTTGAAACTTAAAGGCACGAGAATGCATGGTGTGCAGCGAAAACAGCCACGATGTCCGCTACGGAAGGCCGAGCACTTAGAGCTAATGGTCCCCTTCCAGTTCCTGTAAAATCATACTTTGATAGACACCTCAACCCACATTATACTTAGAATTCCTGTCAAACCATACTGTAATCGACAGCACAAAGCCGCATTCTAATTGTAAAGGCTCCTATGTAGATCACCTAGAAGCTCGGCGCCGGGAGTGTCTAAGCTCTTCCACGATATCGTCCGAACCTCCCAAGACGCGGCAGGACGGTATGAGCGATACCCCTTACGGCCCTTAATCATGATGGTAAGACAAATTCCAAACCCCTATTCTGAGGACAGGCCCCCGTGCTCGTTTTTACAGTTTGGGTTTTGAGGTTCAGGGATGATCAATGCATTTCTCCGCATGCTGCCCCATCTACCATGTGTTGACTTGTGCAGCTAGGTTCCCCCTAAGACTGGAAGTGGCCCAATCTACGTTTTCTTTGTTGAAGGTAGACTTCTACTCCTCCTACTCTATAACGTACGCCCAAAGACCATTTTATAATGCCTATGCATGCCCACATTTGCGGTTTTGGGAAGTAGTACAACAAAACCTCAACAAGTGCCCTAGACTAGAGCTAACTACATGGTTTTGGTGTTCCCCAGGTAGCTTTGCAAGGCTAGGGGTGATTTGGGAGTTTCCGAAAAGAGGGGACCCGATCCATTTTGTAAGGACTCCCAAATGGCTACAGTTTTGTCTGAGCCACCCGAAACCTTAAACCCTAAAGCCTCATTTGAGAGTTTCCGAATTCTGGGTACCGTATTGGGGTCCTTATAAGAAGGATCCTACTATTGTGGTGCCATATCAGGGTCCCCTATTTTCGGAAACTCCCATGTAAAGCTCAGAATGCCCTGTTGCACCGGCTCGAGTCGTTGCACAGGCCCGTCTATGGTCGCAAACAGTGCCTCGGCAGCGAGGATGGTTAAGGCTTAGAGAGTTTAGGGTCTTGGGTGTAGGCTTTGGGTTTCAGGGGTACGGGTTGAGGATGCTCACTCGGGTGTGACCGTTGTTGGGCATTCTGCAGCCCGTGTTTGGTTTAATTTCCTGGTTGTTGTGCGACAACCTTATTCATGCTTGAAACCAAAGACCATAAGCCTTGTCGGCTGCGTATGTAGCCATGCCTGCAGTGCAGATCCTGGATATGGTCGAGTTTGCGGCTGCGACATCGCAGTCAAAGGCCGAGGCTGAAAGAAGCAGAAACCTCCATTTCTCCCACGTTAGTATGATGATTCGTGCGCTTGAGCAGGGATCAAAAGCCAGACCCTGCATCCTCTCTGGAAGCCTGAAGTAAAGCTCGAAGGCATAGCTATGAGAGCCAAATCTCGAGTCTGGGTCAACAGCTGCAAGAATATTACGGCAGGGACGTATGCTATCTTTGTGAAGGCCGTTTTCAGTTCGAAGGAGTTCTCAAGGGTACATTGGTTGGTGGTAGAGCGAAACCAGTGAAACCCTTAACCCAAGCCCTGAAATCGTGATGGATAAGCTACGAGAAAAGAGAGTGTCCGCGTCCGAAAATTGGGGGACCCTAATATAGTACCCGCTAAGTGGTAGGAACCTGCCCCAAAACACGGCACCCCCCTAATTTTCGGAAACTCTGAACCCTTTTAGAGCCCTGTAAAGGAACCCTTATAGTAACCCTTTAAAGGAACCCGAAGGTACCCCTAATTTTCGGAAACCCCGATGCCTTGAAATCCTGAAAGCCACAGGCTACCTGGCTCCTTACGAGGCTATCGATCCAAGCAGCAGGGGCAACTTGATGGCCTTAGTAGCTGAGTGGATACACTTTACACTTTTTGGTATAATATTACCCACTATGAACCTGAAAGTGTACACTTTTCGGGGCTTATGAACTCAGCAACTAAGTGGCACCTTGCATCTCAGGCTTCCCAGAGAGCAGTAACATGCCCAGTGATGTTTTGAATGATGAAAGAATATGTCCTACTCTACGGAGGGTAAGGTTCAAGAAATCTTCAGTAATCCGCAACTCCTATATACCTTTTAAAGCGCAACAATACTCATGATGATCTCAACTCTTCATCACCTTAAGGACCCTCAACTATGGGAATTGTGGCATATTCCTTATTATGGGTATGCAGGATGTGTATCATCAACCGTAGTTCTCTATTACGGTTCTTCCTGGTCCTTTCAGATTGGCCCCCGAAGGCTTTCAAATTGTAGATCTTCTCTTTGTCTGTCTAAGCAACCGGGTTGTCTAAACAACGGTAATTGGCTTTGGGTTTTGGATTCAGGCGTTTAGGGCTTAGGTTAGTTGGTCCTGGGTTTAGGGTTCAGGGTTTGCTATCCAAAGCCTATGGCTCCAGTTTCCGACAGAAATTGCCTTTACTTTCCAACGTAGGTGGGTATTGCTGGTGGGCCATGCTTTATAACCTGACGGTTCCCAACCAAAACATGACAAGACAATATTGACGGTCGGAGGGAAAGACACCCGAGCTTGCGCTGAGAGGTTCGCATCCTTCGAACCCGGTGCTCTCGGTGATATCCCCGAAGAACTCTCCGCAGGCGAAAATATTTACTTTAGGGTGCAAGGCTTAGGGCCAGTTTGCGGAGAGGGCATTCCTGGCTTTGGCGGCACTCTGGGACTGGGAGTCCCGAGTCGGGAGGAAGTATACCTCCGAAAGTCCAGGGTAGCCAGTTGCAAAAGGGTATTGGGTTTTTGCTTTCAGCCTTGTTATACATATTTGAGGTTTAGGGCATAGAGTCCTTGGTTTTCGCCTTCAGCCTTCTTATACATGCTTGCTACACGTGCTGCTGTCATCGGCATCGTTTTTTCCGGGCATCTGTAAAAGATTGGGGTTCGTCAGGGTGTTGGGGTTAAGGGTTGGTATCAGTTTTCGATGTTTAGGCAGGAATGCCTTTGCTTGAATGTCTCCGGAACTGCACGAGAAATCGGAAACCCTACACCAGAATCCTTTGATAAATGGATGTTGAAGAGTACTATTGGGCCCACGCCCGGCAATCTAAGATTGAAGCTGCACGGAAGAACACGAAAAAAAAGCACAGAGGCCTGATATATTGGAAATTGCTCGTACATACGCTAGTATTCCTGAGAATTCCTTTTATCTTGTTTTGTTTATCGTACCAGACTCTGAAGACGTCGGGGTCCCAACATTGAATGCCGGCGGCTTTTCGGGTGTTTGATGGCGTTGCCTCGGTATCGATTTAGGAGGCTACGGTTTGGGCTGTCGGGTTTTCTACACAGTCTCCTTTGATTATGCTGCATGAGGAAAGCAGGCAAGACAATATGCAACCCTATACAGCCGGATCCTTCTTTTTCCTGAGACTGAATTGCGGACCCTTAGGGGTCGTTATGTGTTGATATCATTACACATGCCTTTTCGCGAAACCCGTGACGGATAGCCTAGAATCGAATGTCAGCTACCGAAGATTAGGCCATTACTGATATGTGATCAGTACCGAACCTAGAAGATTTAATATAGTACCATAAGTTGGTGAGAACTGAGAACATATGTGATCCGGTGGGTTGGTTGATGTTACTGGGCTTCATACATTATAGTTCAGTGGGCTCGAAGAATGAAGGAGGTTCAGCGTTCCCGCCATGCCCTGATATTCTAGCCTGCGATTTCGTGCCCTTGCATTGCGAGACTCTTGATGATGGCAAGGCAGAGGGAGAGGGACCTTATAGTTCAGGGAATATAGGGGCCTTAACCAGCAGTAATGTCATTCCTTGGATGTTTAGTCCAATGCATTCTACTGCAACACACACGCACACGAAGCCCTACTCTGATCATCAAGGCCCCTGCTTCAGAGCCTTGCGGCTAGACAACTCCCCGAAACCCTAAACCCTAAGCCCAAACCATAGGGCTCCAGTTACCTAAATAGTATATAGGTTACTAAGTATATGGGAGTTTCCGAAAATAGGGGACCCTAATATAGTACCCTACATAGGAGGATCCTTATTATAAGGAACCCCCAAGGTATCCCAATTTTTGGAAACCCCCCATATAGTATATACCCCATTTAAGTAACCGGAGCCCTAGGGAAACTTTAAACCCTAAACCCTAAACCCTAAACACCCGAAAGGCCTTCCACATCCCGCGGCAAGCGAGCTCCTTCTTCTACGGAGGCATTCCTTCAAGGCTCCGCTGGGCCTTGATTTTGAGCGCCAAGCCTTCCGGGTACTTGGAGGGTCGGGGGACTTAGTAACTGATTATTTTAGGAACTTATAAGTACCATAACCCCAATTAGGGTCCCTTTTAGGGTGCTTATAAGTCTACATACTACCTACTTACTAAGTCCCCCGACCCTCCAAGTAATCTAGGAACCCTTATAGCAACCCTTAAAGAGACCTTATAGTATCTCTAGGGGTAGCCCATAAAGAAAACTTGTAGTATCCATTATAGTAACCTCTTTGAAAAACCGTATAGTAGCTGCAGCTGCTGGGTAATTAGGTTTTAGTCGGGCTTGAGTTTAAGAAGGTAGTAACGAAGCCTAGATAATTTCCAATATTATTCCTTAGGGTTCCTTTTTGAAAGAATACGATGCGGGAGCTCAAAGCACTGGTCTAATTGTTCAGGCCCTTCAAAGGGGACTTCGCAGTGGCTGTTGGTCTAACCCTTAAGCCTTTCGTCCTCCTCAAGCCGTAATATTGTTGAGGGCATGGCTTGCAATGCCCCGGCCTCCACATGCAGGGCTTATTCAGGAATCAGCATGTGGTTCCGGGGTTGAGGCCCCCAAACACTACCCACACTACCCAAACCCTCATCCAAAACCTGAGCGGGAAGCCTTAGGGTCTAAGGCAGATTTTAGGCGTACAAGGAACCCACAAAAATCCAATATCCCTTGTGTAAGGAATAGATCTTACATCAGATCAGGGATCCTACTTGAATTTAAGGTATATTCCTTAATTAAGGGATATTGGAGTCTCCCGGAAGGGCCACAAGTCTGCCAAAGTGGTTGACAGATCCTCTTGTTTTTTCAAGCGTTCCTTTGCAAGGTGTTAGATGTTTTTTTTTTGCAGTGCTTTCAGGGTTCCTTTGTTTGCTGGTTTTGCAGGCTTGAGATTTTGGGTATTGAGCTTTGGGATTTTGGAGTGCCTGAGGTTTACTGTTTATGAGGCTCTCGAACTTCGTTCATATCCTGCACAGCCATATATCACAGCCTTCAAAGCATCAAACGTTTTACTCTTGCTCGTAGGAGCATGTCGAAGCGAATACCGCCTTGTAGGAAACTCCGACGAAGCTGGGCTTACTCTATCGGTATAGGGTTGTATAATGTAGGGGTCGGAATAAGCTTAAAACAGAGTAGGGCCTGGATCATGCTGCTCACCCGAATGCTGTACCACGGCCTGAAAAGATTCAGGCCTTCTTCATCAGGGATCTACACTGTAGACCGTTCAGTGCCAGGATTGAGGATTCAGGGCCATACCCCTGACGAAAGCAGCCGCGCCGAAAGCCCCAAGCCCTCAGCCAAAGCCAAGGTTGAGGGCGGTTTTGGGTTTTGGGCGTTTGAGCGTCTGGGGGTCTCGTCCCCTGTCTCTGCAGGGGGAGTAGTCTCGAGACGATGAGGATGGGTGCAGCGGCTTGGTCTATCCGAAGGGGACGATCAGCGCTCCGTGTAAAGTAGGTTCTGGTCCTGTCATAGTTTGTCCCTGATCTGTTTGGTATAGGATCATCGCTTGCAGTCTGCCCACATACCAAGAGCAAGTCCATCAATGGTCTTGGTGCAATTGGTGGACTTCGCAAAATCTTTGGTGGAGTAGAAGCTTTGTGGATTATTGGTCGCACCCGACTTGGCACCGCGACGTGGGTACCGAGAGACCCTAAACCCCAATCCCAAAGGCCCAATGCAGCAACCTGGTATCTGGTCTTATCCCACATGATCCAGTCGGGGAGGTCTGTTCTTGATCGGGCTCATGGGCTGGTCTCATGGGGTGGGTTCATCGGCCACGAGCCTTGCCGACTTACATCTTCTTACATCACCTCCCGGTCATCAGCGTTCTGCACGTTCCTATGTTTGTTTTTTTTCAGTTCCTGGGCGGCGATGTTCTGTCTATAGGAACACGAAACCCCACACGGGCGTCGCGTCAATTCAGGAGTTACGTACCTGAAGCTTGAGGTCTCGACATTCTGTTCCCCTAGTAAAATGTGTAGCTGTTTAAACCAAGTTCTATCCCGCAAATCTCGATCGCAAGACGAACTAAGCCCTTATCCCCAAACCCTCTAAGCCCTGAACCTACACCTTATTCTGCGAAGGTCCAGTCCTTGCGGGCTAGCCGAATAGTGGCCGTGACCTCGGGGTCATCTGGCAGAGCCTCCGAAGGCTCACAGGGCTCGTGAGGTATCCAGAGACCCCAAATCATAGGGACCTTTAGGGGGGTATGGTAGGGGGAGGGGGGGCAGGCGGCCTGAATACCTATAAGTTTGACCTCATTTGGCTTATTTGAGGAAATATAGTCCCCCACCCCCTCCCCTCTACCCACCTAAGGGTCCCCATGACAAAACCTGCTGTTAGAAGCCTCCTGTATTCTTTGTTAGGTAGTATCAGGGAGACCCCTTAAGGGGGACCCTTCTTAACCCTGCTTCTGGCTTTCTTAAAAGGGACCTTACTGAGAGGGTCTATATCCCGAAGGGTCCCCTAATCCTAACGCCCATATACCTTCCATCCCGTGAAGACTGCTGTGTTGGGGTCCCGACAGCTCTTTCGGAGTTTGAGCTGAAGACTGAGAGTGTGCTAGTGCTGCTGCTGATGCAGTGAAGGCCCAAAGCATCTTAACGACGGTTTTTATCTATGTTTCCATTTCGAAAATATTCCTCTACGGTCCTGCAGATAATGTTCTACAGGGTCTCACACGTAATGATTTGCGGCATGTTTCTTTATCTGACAAGTAATGGACTCATGGGGAGGGGCTCTGGGTCGCGTTTCGGCGCGTTTCGGCGCGCTCCCGGATGTTTTTCCGTCCCTTAGGGTTTCATGTGGCTTCAGGCTTCAGTTTGATTGAGGCTTTGGGCTTTTGCGTTCAGGGTTTTGGTTTTGGGGGAATGGCCTTGCGGTTTAGGGTGAACAAATCACAGCACAGTACGAACTTTGTGAGAAGTGGCTTGGAACGAAGCGTCATGTGACGCGCATGAGACCAACTTGCGTCTTCTGCTCCGGCAAACCTGAACCTGATGCCGCTCAATCGAAAACGACCTCTCAGCTTCTTGTAAGTGGCGTCTGGATGGAAAGAATTTGTTGACCAAGTCGATTGTTTGTGTCTGACAGATGTGCAAGAAGATGCTTATAAACACACGGTACATGTTTACGCATAGGCGACCCAGCGTGTGAGCGCAGTCGTACACAATGTCCTCACCCTAGTGCCGATGCAGAACACGTTCAGGCAGCCGGCGGAACCGAAGAGGCGTAGAGCTTTGGTGTTGTCTGAATCTCCGGCGTCCTTATAGGAAGATCCCATTATCAAGGGTTGAAAGGACCAACTAACCAGCAGACCGACCGACCGACCAACCATCCAAACGGCCACAAGCAACCAAGAAACCAAGCAACCAAGCAAACAAGCAATCAATCCATCATTCCAGAACTCCATCACTCCATCATTCCATCAGTGAATCGATGAATCGGTCAATCAATCAATCAATCAATCAATCAATCAATAATCGATCAATCAATCAAGCAATCAACCCAGTCCATAATACACTTAGATATAGGTATGTGTATAGTAGACACATACTTGTACAATTTGTGCATCATATTCGGTGTTGGAACTCTCCCTTGTGCTCTAATCCCCTGCCCTGGAGGGGATGCATCTGCTGCGGCTCAGCGGATTCCTGGCTGCGAGCTCCGGGCGGCTTGGGTTTTTGGCTTCAGGGAAGGCATGACCAGACGTCCCGGCCCCAGCCCGTGACTCCAAAAAGGAAGGCATGACCCGGTGAAGGCCGAAACTACGACGACACTGTGTTTTGGGGCTCTGCTTTCTTGATGACTTCGGGCTTGTAGTTAGTTGAAGAGTTTTTGTTTCATTTTCCTGATTTCGACGACGGCGCTAGCTGCGACAACGAGAGAAGTGGGGGATAACGTGATTTGCCATGCACAACAGTGAACTATGTCCTTTAGCATTTTTCAATGAGCCCGTAGTCACGTGTATGATTTCGACAACTATTTCAAATACCAAACCGGAAGCCGTCATCGTGCTACCAATCTGTAACTCTTGCGAGTCGGTGAAGACTCGTGCAGCGGGTGCCTGGCAAGATGTTGTGTTTGCTTCTATGCTACTCATCGCTCGGTTACTGCATGGCTGTATGGGCCGAAATAGTTACCTATTCTATTTTGTAGGTTCCTGATTATATGTCTAGTATAATGTACCACAAAACCCTATTCTAATGATTAAGGCCCCTTTGTTCTTGTTTAAATTAAAGTCTGGGAGCTCAGGTTTCGAGGTGTAGGATGCGACTCATGGCGGTCATCCAGATTCCTGCTGAAATTCTCTGCTGGAGCTTCCCTGAGGGTCCAAAGTACCTATATAGTAGAATGTACGTAGGCTTTTGAGAAACAGGAATTACTATTACTGCTGATGGGCAAAATCCTGCATTACCCATTATAAGGAATACACCATAGTTCCCATAGTTTAGAGTCCTTAGGGTCATGCAGGATTTCGTCCATCAGCAGTATGATTTGAGGAAGTATTCCCCATAACCGTACATAGGACCCTTTGGGAAAGGCTTGGAATTTTGGGGTTAAGGGCCCTGGGCCACATAGACCTCTTAAGCTCCTTAATCCTTACATACCCCTTGCAGGGACTCGTCAAGGAGCCCTTAAGGCAAGGAGCCCTTATGAAGCTAACATAGGGGCCTTAATAATTCGAACAGGCCTGGTTTTGGGGCCCTTTTTCCTATAAAAATGATAAGGAGTGTGCTTAATCCTTACGTATTTATTCCCCATAGCCGTGCCTGAGACCCTTTGGGCTTTGCGAGGGGCGTCTGAACTACGGTTGATGATATAAATCCTAGGGTTCCCTTACAGGGATCTATAATCCTAGGGTAACCTTTCTAAAGGGGTTCCTTTAAGGGACCTAGGGGGTGTAGGGTTTAGGCATATAAATCCTGCATGACCCATAATAGGAATAGACCATACTTCCCATAGTCTAGGGTCCTTAAGGTAATGCAGGATTTATATCATCAACCGTATCACGGGCATAGTCGGACCCTTTCGACATGGGAGTTTCCGAAAATAGGGGTACCTTACTTTGGGGTCCTTATAATAGGGATCCTACTATTGAGGGTACTACATTAGGCTCCCCTATTTTCGGAAACCCCATTTCTGGTTTCAAAGATGTTTCGAGATTCTAGGTCCCCGGATTTTTGGACCCTCAGACACCACTGTCCCCGATGTGCCGGGGAGACACTGTCAAAATCAGAGCAGATGAGATCACGCAACATTACATGAACGTAAACCCTAAACCCATAATTGCATAACATTACACCCTAAACGTCATAATCCCTAAACCCGTGAACCCTACACCCTAAACCCCAAACCGTAAGCTGAGCATCTACCCCAAACTTCAAACACCGAGGAGACTGCAGATCTCACCTTTGTCCTCGATCTCCTGGCCAGCAGAGCTTCGGAAACGGGTCCGGATGAGTGGCTTGGAGTGCCTAATAATTAGAATAGATGTTCCTTTTAAAGGGTTCTTATAAAGGGTTCATACGGGCTACTATAAGGATCTAGTATAGGGGCCTCAATAACTAGCACAGGATTTTGGAGGTTCCTTCTTGTAATTATAGTATAATATGTCCCCAAACCCTGTTCTAATTATTAAAGCCCGACAGTAGGTTTAGTAGCAAGGCTTCTATGGGGTTTTACAGGGTGTTGAGGGCTCGATCGCTGTTTAGGGGCTTTGATGTTTACTTGTGTTTTGTGCGTCTCTGTGTGTGTGTTTTAAGGTTTAAGGCTTGATGTTGTTAGTTCCTGTTTAAGTGGGGGCCGAGGGTGGAGGGGTGCTTGGTTTGGGATTTGCGGATTTGGCAGGTGTGGGGTCTCGGGTCAGCAGGTACAGGAGGCTCTTCTGTGCCTTGGCAGTGTGCAGATCGGGTGTTGGGGTGTCTGCTGACGTAGTTCCACTTCATGGGGGGCTCCAGGAAAGACTATTCGGTGTTTCATTTCGGCCTTACTCAGGGTTTCGGTATCTGTTCTACCTTTTGACAATTCAGGCAGCGATTCGTGATATCTTTGATACAAGGACCTGCAGAATGAATCCCCCTACATCCCAAGCGTCTCATGACTCCCTGCGACCCAGGCCGGTGGGATAGGGCGCTGATGCTGGTCCTCATTGGCACCCTCACCGGCTTCACGAGGCTGCAGAACATCTGGGTCTCGCCTGGGTTGGGTTCAGAAGTTTAGGGTTTAGCGTGTAAGAGGAGTGATGGTGAAAGAGGGTTTATGGTGTAATAGGTTTGATGGTGTAATATGGTCTATGGTGTAATAGGGTTTATAGGGTTTAGCAGGCTAGCTATCGGCTTGCGAAGTGCACAGTTGTTCGATGATCTTGGCCGCTGAACACCTACTGCCAGATCCTTCGTTGACCCCCTATGACGCCCTAAAGTATCAGGACATGCCAAAGTTACCCGAATGCAAAACCCAAGCAGCTTGATGAACCCTAAGCCAATCATGTAACAAACCGTGTGAACCTGTACGCCGTGATCACCAAAGGTTTTCAACCATAGACCTGCAAATCTGGTCCTTGACACTTAGAATACTTGTCTGAAGCCGGCGCGTTGCCCAAAATCCAGGAGTTTTTTGAGTTTACCCTAAGGCCCCAAAGTAGTTCCTTTCTGGGGTTCATGATTTGGATTTCCTACAAGGTAACCCCCAAAAGGAACTACTACTTGGGGGCCATGGGTAGTGACGAGGGCTGGGGTCTGTCTGGGCATTGGATGCTAACGTAGACGGTTGGGGTTGAGGAAATAGTGCGAGCGACTACGGTTCAGGTTTGAGATATGTCAGGGTCGTATCTTTATAAGGGGGAAAAGAGCTATCAAGCTATATGTATAGTTTAGGCTCATGTTTCAGGATTAGCAGCCACCAGCACCACCGGGACGAGGACTTCCACAACAATGCCAACAGTCACAAATCTACCGATATCAAAGTCTCGAATTTCGACTCGATGATAGCAACATAGGGAGTTCCTTCAACATTTTGTAGACAGCCTTATGCTTGAAGTACACTACATCCCAGCCCCGATTCTGGTTGATTGCTGAGGCCCGGTTGGCAGCCTGTAGGTTAGCAAAATGTCCAACGGGCACCTTGCAGATTCCGAGCGGCGCGGATTGTTGATCTGCCTACGCTGTGGCAGCTACCGTAGCAGTGAGGGTCTCGGCTTTGGGTATAGAGTTTTGGTGTCCAAGGCTTAGTGTTATTGGGTATGACGAGACAAAGACGTGACTTTGGCAGGAGCTTTCTCGTGTTCGACACGGTGTGTCCTGGACGAGACTAACGGGAGGGGTTTCGCTTGGGGCTAAGACAGTTGGCTGTTGTATTCCGTGACGTTCCATATCACTTCATGTGCTGCTGACCTCGGAAGATGTGCCCAGGTCGACCTCTCACTCCCCAAATGCCAAAGGACTCACGTGGTTTATGGCTATCAGCCCAGAGATCCATGGGAACACTGGAATAGTCGATTGGCAGTCAAATCTCTAGTCCCGGCGCTCCTCACTAAAACAGGCTCAACTTTGAGGGTAAAGATCTGCTTAGGTGGATCCAGCGGAGCCTTTATGATGAGTCCAATGAGTGGTGGAATTTTGGTACCAGCCGGGCGTCTGCAATAGTGTGGAGACTGTCGGAGTTGGGGTGTGAGTTTGGACCGAGGCAGGATCTGTTTGGCTTCAAGCATCTTTGTGCAACTTTTCGTCTAACCGCCATCGTCAGAAGCCCCTCCCCCACTGAATCTCCCAGCCCAAGCAAAGCTGCACACCAAAGCAACGGTTCGAAGCCCCGTACCCTAAAACTTTAGCCGGGCCCCTCCACGTTGCAAGACCTGGAGGCTGCAGGAAGTGCTCAAGTACTGCTAGGGAATCGAACTTACGCTGCAAGGCTGATGGCTTCGGGGTTTCCGGGTTTACTCTTTGAAGGGTCCTAAGGGCGATCTGCAATTAGCATGTTATGGGCCGTTCACAGCCTGTACCCCCTAGGCCTGGGGAGGGTTTGTAGGTCCCAGGCCCATTTAAGGAGCCCTGAGCCCCCAAACTTCTCCACAAGCAGTCGATTCAGATAATATGGGAGTACAATCTGGGTTGCCCTTTGGGATCTTTTTAAATTTCCCCCTAGAGCTGTGCTATTTCGGATCCCTTCTCTGCAAAGGTCATCCGAAGCGACCGTTGGCTTTTACCCCCTATTGATATCTTTCTTAGTGTCATGATGAGTATCACGACTGCTTGTGCCAAGGCTATCATCGGTATTGTCTGTTCGTAGACATGGTCAGGTCCTGCGGCAGAGATGATCGGCATCGACAGTTTCAAACTTTAGCAAGGCAGCGTGAATAGTTACCCAATGCTACTCCTTCGGCTTCCTGTGTTCCTGTGAGAAGTACGGTATCTTATAGGAGAATATGGCCAAAAACCAGTATCTTGTAGCAGGATATTTCCACAAAACCCTAGTCACCTCGCACCTCAGTGTTAATTGTCGAGGCGCCTGTATTCTCACATCATGCCGAGATAGCTCCGGAGCTGGCAGGCAGAGCCATGGGCTCTGCGGCCCAGATGAAGGAAGAAGATGTCTAAAAGAGATGTTTCTGAGCTGGTGTTGCCTAATTAGTTTTGAGTGCTGAAGCCCCAAGCAGCAACCCCGATGCCAGGCCCCGAAAACCTGGCTAAGCCCATAAAACTGACCCAAACATGCAGCCCTGGCTTTCCCCGCAGTTTTGAGGCATTTTCGCCGCTTTGGCCGCTTCGGCGGTGGTGTCCAAGAGCGGCTGCAGCTGGTCCGGAAGCGGCCTCCCCGAGGCCCCTTCCTTTTGGGGGCTCCTTTTCGGCTTCGTTTAGGGTGCTCAGGTCAGGCTTAGGTGCTACTTATAAGACTTCTTCCTTTGAGGCTTTTCGGTATAAGTGTTCGGGTTTGGCGGTTGACCGGAGGGTTAGCGTACAGGGTTTAGGTGTTGTTGAGGATTGTTGAGGAGTGTTCGCTGGCACACAGTGTGCAAGCCCATGCTGAAAAAAGTGCTTGGATGCTGTTTATAATATCAGATTTCTACAAGGTGTTCTTGATGTGATGTTCCTACAAGACATGTACAGATGCTTCAATAAGACTGAGGCCCCTTCCTAGATTTCCGCTATATCAGGGTCTAAGGTTTATAGGTACTTTGCTTGTGGGTTTCCTTTGCACAAAGGGTTTATACTGCAAGGCTTCTACATACAAAGGTTGCTACAAGAGTTCTAGAAGGGCTTCTCGAAGTGGTTCTATACTGCCGGGTCCTGAAGGGGGGGGTGTATAGGGGCTTCCGGAGGAGTCCACGTCTCGTGATTCACAAGTCTGTACGAAGATTTCTTGCATGGTTCCTATTACTCATGAGTTTCCCACAGGCGATGTAGGGTGTAATTAAGGTGATTTTGGCTGCGGGGTGGTGTATAGGGTCTTTATAGGAGCTTCAATGGTTCTCAGGATGCAGGGCAGGGACGTGAGGCTTAATTGGAGAGATCTTAATTCAAGCTGTTGGGCATGGGCTGATAGGTCCAGGCTCAAGTTTAGTTTTCCAGCTTCAGAAGGCAAGGGAGATGCCTCTCGCAACAGTTCTGAAGGGTGTTTAATGTCGGATACCTTACCCGAGAAGCCTTGACAAAAGTTCTATCAGAGAAGGTTTTCTAGGTCTGTATCCGATTCATAAACACAAATCGCAAAGGATGGCTTTCGGCCCGCTGCATGTGTAGGCTGCAAAGAGATAAGCTTTAACCCTAAACTTGAAGCCCAGACATGTGAGACAAAAGAAGCGACAAAGCCATCTGAATGTCTTATGCAGCCCCTCTAAAGATATGTTTGGAATCACCCCCCCCTCCAAAACCCTGAACCCTAAACCCTCAAACCCCAAAACAGCGACCTTTTCCCTGCGGTGCGACTTCGTCAGCTGGGCGGGTGGGAAAAACTTTGAAGAGGTGAAGACCATCTTGGGTGGTTTCGTGATGGATGACGTGCTGTGCCTCGACTCTAAACCGGTTGTTTTTACGAATTGGTTTAGGATTTAGGGCAGGCTTTCGTATGAAGACCATAAGATTCCAGCTTGCCGGCACACACCCAAAGCCCGTGGTGAAAAAGGGCAGGGTTTCTGAGCTGGTTGTGTGTATGGTTTGTCTTAATCATCCTCTCTTGAGCTTCACGAAGTCGAACCTAAGACCCTGAAACAGTTTTATGCCCTGCTAGTGGTTGTGGCTCAGGGTGTAAATGGCCTGGCTTTGAGGGTGTAGGATATTCGAGCTTTGAAGTTTGGTTTATCTGGGATTGTGGTGGAGGGTTGCAGGATTTCATAGCTTGGATGTATGTGATTGTGGGTGTGTGTGTGTGTGAGAGGGTGTAGGGTTTTGAAGTACTACCGCGACATCATAGATAACCTCCGGTCATCAACGATTCTCCCTCCCGCCCTTTGAATTGAAGCCTTGATACCAAGAGTTATCTGGGCATTTGTCGGTCAGTCTTACCGGTTCATTGCGATTCCTGCCTAGCAACTCAGCAGGTAAAGGCTAAATCCGAAGCCCTATATGTGTAGATATATACACACAACGAAAGAGGGGGAGAGAGAGAGAGAGAGAGAGAGAGAGAGAGAGAGAGAGCGAGCCCTAAACCCTAAACTTTCGAGCGAGAGAGAGAGAGAGAGAGAGAGAGAGAGAGAGAGAGAGAGCGAGCCCTAAACCCTAAACTTTCGAGCGAGAGAGAGAGAGAGAGAGCGAGAGCGAGCCCTAAACCCTAAACTTTCGAGCGAGAGAGAGAGAGAGAGAGCGAGCCCTAAACCCTAAACTTTCGAGCGAGAGAGAGAGAGAGAGAGAGAGAGACACGCGCAGGGGTAGCAGGGTCCGTCCTTGCGCCCCACACGCCCTGCAAGCAAGCAAACAAGCAAGAGAGAGACAGAGAGAGGGAGAGAGGGAGAGGGACAGAGTTCCATTGCTGCGCAGGTCATTTGGAGTGCTCCTCTCCCGAATTCTGGGCCTGGCGATCGCTCAGGTGCCTCAGATGCTGGGTTGAGTCATAGTCAAAGCACCCCGAGCGCAAATTACTAGGGGCTTAAATATACCAATACTATTTTGGTGGGTTTTTGATTATAAATGTAGCACAATGGGCCCCAAACCCCCAAGCCCTAAACCCTAAACCGGTATGGCAGCCCTATAAGCCTTCTGCAAGCTTATAGTGGAAATGGCACCCTAGACTGAAACCTTGAAATCCTTGACGAGATTATCAAGATCGACGGCTCTTCTGCGGACAGCAACTCAACAACTGATGATGGACCCATCATGACCTTGGTTGGATCCATTCCATCGGCGAGCTCCGTCTAGGTTTGTTGTTTCGGGGTTGTGGCTTCCTGGCTCTTAGCAGTGTGGGTCTCTGGGGCGTTGCGCCGAGGGCTCAGGATTTAAGATTCATCAGGATCTTAAGACTAGTCAGGTGCGTTGGGTTTCGGGTTTCCGTTTTGACTCGGGCCTTCAGGGTATCAAGCGCAGCAGGCGGAGGTTTCAAGTGCCAAGAGCACAACCCTGATCTACCGGCTTTGGAGTTGCTGGGTTTTCAGGTCGATGAGTCTGTCTGGTTCTTAGTAGGGAATGGGGGAATGGATATTGGGGACTTCTATTGGGGAGCATGTAATGTAGGGGCCTGTAGGGCTGTAGGGGCTGCAAAAGGGATCCCTTCCCGCATTTCCCTACAAAGCACCAGGGAGGAGTTTTTTGGTTGCGGTACGTTGTGGTCTTGCTCCAGGGGGCGTATAAGGGGTGCCTGGTAGCGTTGTAGCATAGCTCTTTGGGTCCGTACGTACAGGTTCGCATTCATGACTCAGACCTCTGTACCGGCTTAGACTTCAGGATTGGCAACGGCGGGTTGAGGGTTCGTGGTCTTATTCGTGGTTTAGGCATCAATGAAACCTGGATGCAAAAAGACGGAACGAAAGCATGACGGCTAGGTGTGACTCCTTAGGTGTGACAACTAGCA